CCAGCCTGGTCTACATATTGAGCTCCAGATCTATATAGCTGTATAGCTCCAATGCTATACAGTACAACCAGTAATACCACTTTGGGTATATATCCAAAGGATGCTCAATTGTGCCACAAGGACATGTGCTCAACTATGTTCATAGCAGCTTTGTTTGACATAGCCAGAACCTGGAAACAACCTAAATGCCCCTCGATCAAAGAATGGACAAGAAAAATATGGTACATTTACACAATGGAGTACTACACAGCAGAAAAACATAACAACAGCTTGAATTTTGCAAGAAAATGGATGGAACTAGAAAACATTATTTTGAGTGAGGTAACCCAGACACAGAAAGACAATTATCACATGTCTACTCACTCATAGGTGGTTTTTAAACATAAAGCAAAGAAAGCCAACCTATGAACCACAATCCCAGAGAACTTAGGCAACAATATGGACACTAAGAGAGACTTAAATAGATATGATCTACATGGGAAGTAGAAAGTAGAAAAAGGCAAGATCTCCTGAGTAAATTGGGAGGATGGAAACCTTGAGGGAGGATTGAAAGGGGGAGGGGAGAGGCAAGGAGGGGAGCAGAGAAAAATGTAGAGCTCAATAAAAATCAATTAAAAAAAAGAGTAAGACTGTCTGCTAAGACTCCGTTCACTTCCCATAGAAACTCACTTATGAGGTGATATTTTGTTTGTGTTTTAACAAATACAGTTTGCCTGAAGATCAGAGGGCAGACCTAAATCATTAGAAGCCAGGGAGAGGTGGCACACACCTTTAATCCCAGGACTCAGGAGACAGAGGCAGAGGGGTCTCTGTGTGAGCTCTGTTTCTCTTTTAGACAGATTCAATCTCATGTAGCCCAGGGTGGCTTTGAACTAACAAAGGTGATCCCAGCACTTGGGATCCCATGCCTTTAATCCCAGCACCAGGGAGGTGGAGACAGGAAGTGATATGGCTGGGCAGAGAGAGGAATATAAGGCGGGAGGAGACAGGAGCTCAGTGCTGTCTGAGGTTTGGTGGAGACAGTTGCAGACAGTCTGAGGACAGGATCACCCCTACAGTCTGAGCATTGGTAGAGGTAAAAGGTTGCTCCCGTGGCTGACCACACTGCTTCTCTGATCCTTCAGCTTTCAGCCCCTAATATCCGACTCGGGGTTTTATTTATTAAGAACAATTAGAATTGGTGCTATACACTTAAATTTTAAATTACTCTTAAACCAGTAAATATTTGTTGATGAGTATTCTGTATACAGCACAAAATTTAATGCCTAACATAGCCTATATCACATAGTATGTACCGACAAGTGAGTAGCCCGGACCTAGAGTGAGCTCACCAAGGGCAAGCAGGCCAGGGTACAGAGTCTACGTGCTTTATAAACCTGCGTACAAAGCAATCTTCTGTTCCTCCAGACTCAGGACATTTGCCATGAGCTTTCAAAGAAAATGGTTTATTTGGTTGGTTGGTTGGTGTGTGTGTGTGTGTGTGTGTGTGTGTGTGTGTGAGAGAGAGAGAGAGAGAGAGAGAGAGAGAGAGAGACATGATGTCACAGAGTCAGTGGCATTTGATGGGCTTAGAGGAACACAAAGTTGCCACGGGTGGAGACTGGTAGAGGCAGAGGAGAGGCCAGACCAGAGACAGGAAGGCCAGACAGAAGGCTACGATAGCCGGTCAGAATGAAGAAGGAAGTCTGAACCCAGGACCTCAGGGGTTGGAAAGGAAGGCTTTAGTAAGAGTCCGAATAAGTAGGCCTTCAACCAGGCATGGCAGCTCATGGCTGTAATCCCATCCCAGAACTCAGGAGGCTGAGGCGAGAGGATTGTCTTATAGGACAGCTAATCTACAGAGTAAGATTTTTTTTTTTCTAAAAACAAAACAAAGCTGGGTGCAGTGGTGTACACCTTTAATTCCAGCACTCGGGACTTAGAGGCAGGTGGATCTCTGTGAGTCCAAGGTCAGCCTGATCTGTAGAGTGTGTTCCAGGACAGCCAGAGCTACATAATGGGACCCTGCCTTGAAAAACCAAGCACGGGGCTGGAGAGATGGCTCAGTGGTTAAGAGCACTGGCTGCTCTTCCAGAGGTCAAGTTCATTTCCCAGAAATTGTATGGTTTTATGCCCTGCTAATGCTGAAGCAAGCATGGGCAGCCCATATATGGTGGTTCTGTTGAACTTGTCCACATTGGGTTTCACGGTCTAAGTTGATGAGGACGCTGACCATGTCTCTTCCTCAAGAGGGTACCCGATCTCCTTTCAAATGGTTGTGAGACACCATGTGGTCGCTAGGAATTGAACTCAGGAGCCATATAGTGCCTCACAACTCAGGCTAAGACAAGCAGACATACAGACAGAACACCGTATATATGATAAATAAATAAAACTTTTTTTTTTAAAAAAAGGAAGGAAGAAAAAACCCAAAACAAGGGCTGGAGAGATGGCTCAGCAGTTAAGGGTCCTTACTTTTCTTTCAGAAGACCCGAGTTTGATTCCCAACACCCCCATCAGCTGCAGATGATTGGATGGACATCTTCTGACCTCCCAAGGCTCTCCCACAAATGTGCATACTCACAGATACACATTTAAAAAGTCTTTTTAAATGATAAAAAATAAAAAAGAACTTGCAAACTGCATCGAAGAGAAAGAAATAGCTTGGCTGTTTCTTACTGGGTGATGAGAATGACACATCCTTAAACCAGATTGAGCAAAGGTTTACAAAACGGGAGATGGTAGGGTGGTGGTGACACACGCCTTTAATCCCAGCACTCGGGAGGCAGAGGCAGGCGGATCTCTGTGAGTTCGAGACCAGCCTGGTCTACAGAGCTAGTTCCAGGACAGGCTCCAAAGCAACCCAGAGAAACCAAAAATAAAAAACGGAAGACGGTGGGTTTGTTTGTGAGTGTGCTACAAATACATCCACAGATATCTAAGTTTACTTAGATATCCTCCGTTTCAATAGAGTTCTAATTCACTGATTTTTTTTCCCCCCTCATAGACATTCTCAACAAAGGGAAATTCTGCCTCTCAGGGAAGAGTCAGTCTGGAGATTAGAGTCACCACAGCTTGGAGTAGGGCAAGGGGCCAGGGTCGCTGCCAGTGCACAGGACAGCCCCTAAGTCAGCATCGCTGAGATTCAGAAATCCTGATCGAAAACCTAACCCGGGACACAGTTGAAGCAGCGGCGGGTCGGCGAATCGTCTGTGAGGATGACGCGGCACGCCAAGAACTGCAGCGCCGGAGCGGTCTACACCTACCATGAGAAGAAGAAAGACACAGAAGCCTCAGGCTATGGGACCCAGAACGTTCGACTGAACCGGGACGCTGTGAGGGACTTTGACTGCTGCTGTCTCTCGCTGCAGCCCTGTCGTGATCCTGTGGTCACCCCAGATGGCTACCTGTATGAACGGGAGGCAATCCTGGCGTACATCCTACACCAGAAGAAAAAGATTGCCTGCCAGATGAAGGCCTATGAGAAGCAGCGGGCAGCCCTCAGAGAAGAGCAGAGACAGCTTCAGCGAGCTGCAGCCCAGGACCGAGCTCGAGGCTTCCTGGAGAAGGAGGCAGCCATTCTGAGCCAGCCCCTGAACCCCTTCATGCCTAAGGCTGCCACCTTACCCAACACAGGTGATGAGCAGCCAGGTCCCCCAGGCAAGGACAAGGACACAATACTGCCCAGCTTCTGGGTTCCCTCACTGACGCCCGAGGCAAAGGCCGCCAAGCTGGAAAAACCATCCCGCATCGTGACCTGCCCGATGTCTGGGAAGCCACTACGCATGTCAGACCTGACGCCCGTGCTCTTCACGCGGCTGGATGACTCTGTGGACCGCGTGGGGCTCATCCCACGCGGTGAGCGCTATGTGTGTGCAGTGACCCGAGACGGCCTGAGCAACGCCACGCCGTGCGCAGTGCTGCGGCCCTCTGGGGCGGTGGTCACTCTGGAGTGTGTCGAGAAACTGATTCGGAAGGACATGGTGGACCCCGTGAATGGGGATACCCTGACAGAGCGTGACATCATCGTGCTGCAGCGGGGCGGGACGGGCTTTGCAGGCTCGGGAGTGAAGCTGCAGGTGGAAATGTCGCGGCCAGTGATGCAGGCCTGAGCTATGACCTAACAAACCTGCCTGTGAACGCGGGGAAAACAAAACAAAATCATAACCCAGTAGCGCCAACTGGAGAGTTGAGACTTGTTCTATTTTCAGTGAGACAGCACCACCTAGTGTCAAAATATAATATTTTTGTTGCTGAATAATAATAATAAAGGACCAGATTAAAAAAATACTCAGTGTGCTGGCAGGGAGATGAAGGATATTCATAACTGGCTACACTTTACATAGTAGACAGAATGGTGGTATTATATTCATTGCACAGTTGAATATATATGCCAAGCGCGAATGTAAGAATAAACAGGCAAGATGGCACGATGAATATGAATATATAATATGATGAATATTGAATATTACATACACAGTATTCCAGAGGCAGTCTCAGGATTTAGAAAGCGATTCTTGGTTATCAGAGATCTCATGATACATGGCCCTGTGGAAACATTTTACTACATTCCGTCTAAGGTTGAAGTTGCCCCTGAAGCTATCAAGTTGGTTCAGCTGGTGAGGCAATTGGTGCCAAGCCTGACAACCTGGGTTGGGTCCCTGGGGTCTGGTGGAAGGAGTGAGCCGGTTCTCTCAGATTGCCAGCTAACATCTACTTGCGTTCTGTGGCGTGTCTCATCCTCTACTTCCTGTCACTGCCTACACCAGAGAAGATAGGCCTAAGCACTCAGCTGAGTCTTTGACTGAAATCATTATTCCCAGACCAGGCTAAAGGCATGTGCCACCACGGCCCAGTGGGTGTTACCTCTTAGAGAACAGGACAACTCAAAACTGAAAATAGTGAGAATTTTTTTGAGTGTACTTAAATGTGTGTGCGCGCGCGCACACACACACACACACACACACACACACACACACACACGCCAGAGGACAACTTGTAGGAGTGAATGAGTCCTCACCTTTCACCATGTGGGTTCCAGGAATCGAACTCAGGTTCTCAGCCTTGGCGGCAAGCACCTTTATTTGCCGACTCAACTCTCCAGCCCCCTTATTCCTATTTTCCTGTCGCCCACAGTACCCAGCACAGCGTCTTACACAGAGTAGACACACTGCTGATTTGTTGAGTAAATTAATTTATTTTTATACTGCAAATCCTTGCCTTGAAGCAAAGAAGGTCTCAAGCCTTTCTAAAGCAATTACCATCTCCAGCTAAAAATTCCCAGCGGAGGGGGACCTGGCACAGAGAACACCAGAGATCTGAGCACAGGGATTTGGAAACAGACACCCCCAGTTCATATCCCAGGCTTGCATGAAGCAGATGCCGTGACAGACACTGTCGGGGCCATGTTTGGATTGGCCTTAGATTGGTAGAGAGCTGAGTACGCCATCCCCAGCAGATGTCTGTTGAAGTCTCCGTTGTGCCCGGTGCCAATCTAGGCACTGGGTGTGGGTGTGGGTGTGACTGTCTGCCTAAAATGGTGCAGACAGGCTGGTGGGAGCCTTGTTTTGACCACGTAATGAGTGCACTGTGAAATCTTGAGTGTCCTGGTTGGTTTTGTTTGTTTTTTGCTTTTAAATCTCAGGCATGTTTTGGCTTCTCATGTGACTGCACAGGCAGGATATGCAAGTGAAGAGTCTCACCACTTGGGCGGAGAGGTGTATGGCCAGATCCTCTAATGTTAAGTGGGAACTCATCTAGCGAATCCACCTAGATGACCGCTGTGGGTGTAATCCATGAAAGGTGATGGGCTCCCCAGCTTTCTCTTTTGCATCTATTCTAAAGTCACTAACTTCTCTCAGCCCTGGCTATGGCTCCTAATTGCTCCTAGTTGGGCCTAATGTCCCTTACACGCGGCGTGGGGAAGCACACTCGCTCCCCCCTCCCTCAGGCTGCGGTGGCAGTGGTATGATATCTTTGGTTTGTGAGAATTGTCTACTTGCATCTCTAAGATGCACATCCCTAAACTCTCCCTCAACCAAGGCTCAAAAAGCCTTGGCCAACTTACTTAAAACACTTCCTGCCATGGGTCCAGCAGGATGGGAACTCACTCAAATGTGGCTGTTTGGAAACCACTGCGTATGACCGGTCTTCCTTCCCCTCCACAGTCCACCCTCTCACACAGCAGGCACGGAGACATCCTTAAAGTTCATCGCTCTCCACCACACTCCGAGAAGTGCAGGAGTACACCACCGTGCTTTCCATGGAGGAGAAGGCAGAGAAGATGTCCAGTCCTTTGCTGCTGAGAGACCCATAGCGGCTGCCACTGGGACGGATGGACATGGGTGGCGGGATCTGCTGGTGCCACTGAGCTGGAAAATGAGCCAAACAAAATGTTAGGATCAAAGGAATCCATGGGAGGAGTGCTGATGCCTCGTTTCTAAAAGGAACATTAAAACCTTCCTGCCTTGTGCTGGGTGGTGGTGGCTCACGCCTTTAATCTCAGCACTGGGGAGGCAGAGGCAGGCAGATCTCTGCGAGTTCAAAGCCAGCCTGGTCTACAGAGAGTTGTAGGCCAGCTACGGTGAAAGAGCGAGAGCTTGTCTCAGAACAAATAAACAACAACAAAATCTTGCACAATTAACAATTAATTGTTGCGTTTTCTCCTTTCCAGCTGGAAGTGTATAATTTTCAGCTCCAGGAATCTGACTCCCTCTTCTGACCTCCACAGGTACTGCACTCACTTGGTACACCACACACACACACACACACACACACACACACACACACACGTAAAAATAATCTTTAAAAAAAAGGATAGGTAGAGGTGAGGGATGTTCCTCCTCCTGCTGAACTTTGTGGCCATTTCCTGGAGCCTACTGGGAACAAAACTTCTAAAGGCAAATATGTCTGGAAGGCTGTGGTGCAAGGCCACTTTTGCTGGCTATAAGCGAGGTCTCCGGAACCAGAGAGAGCATACAGCTCTCCTTAAAATTGAAGGTGTTTATGCCCGAGATTAAGCTGAATTCTACTTGGGCAAGAGATGTGCTTATGTGTATAAAGAAAAAAACAACCCAGTAACACCTGGAGGGAAACCAAACAAAACCAGAGTGATCTGGGGGAAAGTAACACGGGCCCATGGAAACAGCGGCATGGTCCGTGCCAAATTCCGAAGCAACCTTCCTGCAGAGGCCATTGGACACAGAACTGTGTGATGCTGTACCCTTCCCAGATTTAAACCAATGAAAAGTAGATAAATAAAAGTGGATTTGTGCTCTCGTTAAAAAAAAAAAGATAATCTCTGCTCCTGTCTTCTCTCTTTTCTTGTAAGTAAGATTATAGAACGGCTCTGCAGATGACTTCAGAATTATAATCTGATAAAGTGAAATTATAGGCTACTGAGGTTGAGCAGAGAATTTCATGCATGTCATTTTTTTTCTTTTCTTTTTTCCTTTGATTTTGGTTTTTCAAGACAGGGTTTTTATGCATAGCTCTGGCTATCCTGGAACTCACTTTGTAGCCCACCCAGGCTGGCCTTGAACTCAGAGATCCACTCTGCCTCCCGAGTGTTGGGGTTAAAGGTGTGTGTTACCACTGCCTGGTACACACCCCTTTCTTGTAAATGGAGTTTCTGCTGGAGTTTCCAGAGAAAGAAGGAGCCCCAAGATGGCTGAGCTGGTAAAGGCATTTGATGGCATGTTTTGACCACTTGATTTTCAAAAAACAAGACAAAACAAAAAACAAATGGCAGGGAGAACCCATCTTCAAAGCACAACAGAGAGTGTTATCTATCTCATTTACGCATGGAGATGATATTTAAACTGTCCTCAGTGCACAGATATTCCTTGAATGACATCATCCTTACCATATATATCCAACCTAGCTGTGCAGGACACAATGCCAGCTTCATTCTTGGCTGACAGGGTATACCAGCCGGCGTCAGATTTCTTGGCTGGCTGGATGAGGAGGCAGACATAGCCCGTTGTGTCCTGGTGCATGCTGGGGAAGAGAAAGAACATGTTCACCTTTAACTTGGGAGCAGAAGCATTGCGGTCAATCTTAGGCTTGGGGAAACTCTCAGAGAAGGGACAGGGGACAGTTAGCTCCTTAGCCAAAGCCTAGAAAAGCCATCCTCTTGTCCCCTTACTTTCTTCTCCTCTTCCCTCTCTTCCTCCCTCTCTCCCTCCCTTCCTCCCTCTCTTTGAGAAAGAGCCTCCTGGCTGGCCTGGAACTCATTAGATATATCGAGCTAGCCTGAACTTAGAGATCCTCCTGCCTCTTCTTGCTACTGAATCCAGCTCTCTAATCCTCCCCTTCTTAAAAATGTATTTATTTGAGTATGTATGCATACCACATATATACTGATAGCCTGAAGAGGCATCAGATTCTCTGGAACTAGAGTTTCAGATGAATCACCATGTGGGTGTTGGGAATCAAACCTGGGTCCTCTGCAAGAGCAACAACTGCTCTTAACTGGTGAGCCATCTCTCCACTACCCTTCCTTTCTGAGACAGTCTCACGTAGCCCAGAGTGACCTTGAGCTCCAGGATACCCGGTCCTGAAGAACTTTAACTCCTGACCCTCCTGCCTTCCACATGCTGGGATATGCTATCACCCCTGGCCCCTAATGCAGCTTTTTGTTTATTAAAAAACAAAACAAAACAAAACAAAACAAAACCTTGTCTGGGTCCTAAAACGATTGAGAATAATGCAAAAATATGCCAGATCTTATATGTTCCTTGTATAATTTTTAAGATTTATTATTTTCATTTATGTGAAGGTGTGCCTCTGTAGGTTTGTGTTCTCCATATATGCAGGAGCTTGTGGAGGCCTGAACCAGGTGCTGGGTCTTTAGAACTAGAGTTACAGGCAACTGGGATTCACTCAGGGAGGATGCTGGGAATTGAACTCCGGACCTCTTCATTGCTGAGCCATCTTTCCAGCTCCTCCATGTATATTTTTAAGAACTTTTCATTTTGGAGGCAGTGTCTCATAGAGCCCAGAACAGCTTCATACTTGCTCTGTAGCCAAGTTGATAACTTTGGACTCCTGATTCCTCCTGAGTCTGGGGAGGGTGGGAATGCCACCACATCTCGGACACGTGCGGTCAGTATTGCTTTCTCTCTCTGGTAAACAGACTTTTATTAAGGCAAAGTGAGAAGGAAAATAGACTTCTGACAGAGGGAGGGGCTCCACACACACATACACATCCCACCCGCTTTTGAGACTGAGTTTTACTCTCGCCTAGACTGACTCAGGATTCACTCTGTGGCCCTGGCAGGCTTGGAACACGCACAACAGCCTGGCTGAAACGCGGTAGCGCCATATTCAATGAAAGAAGCCAGCTGTAAAGGCGGCAGGCTTATCTGGAGGGCCCACCAGGCCCCTCTGAGCATGGATGTCTCCACAGAGACGGTGCTTGCTGTACCTGATCCTCTCTCTACTGAAAGGGATGGTCTCGTTGTCTTTCTTCCAGTAGAACACGGGTGGGGGCATGCCTACGACGCGACACTCCAGTCTCACGGGGTGGCCCTCGGGAACACCACTGTTTTGGAGTTTCTCCAGGATCATGGGTGCTTTCTTCACCTCTTTGGCTAAAGAAGAGAAGTTACTTTTATATTTGAATAGTAGCAAGTCCCTTGAGGTTTCTGCCTCAGACGCTCACGTTTATTTTATTTTATTTTGAGACAGGGTCCCATTGTATTGGCTGTCCTGGAACTTGCTTTGTAGACCAGGCTGGCTTTGAACTTTGCTTGTACTGGGAATAAAGTCATGCATCACCATACCCACTCAGAAATAGTCACTTTTAAAATTTTTTTTTTTTAAATCCCAGCACTCAGGAAGCAAAAGTAGGCAAATCTCTGTGTGTTTGAGTCCAGCATGATCTCTACAGAGCTAGTTTTAGGGCACCCAGGGCTACACAGAGAAACCCTGTATTGAAAAACAAAACAAAACAAAACAAAAAAAAAGAGTTTTTCAAAGTTACATTTAATTAATTCATTTGATTTGTGTGTGTTTGTATGTGTGTATGTGTGTTCCAGTTTGTGTGTGTGCGTGCCTGCGTGCATGTGTTTGGATGTATGTGTGTGTGTCAGCTTTCGTCAGGAGTTATTTCTCCTGTTCTATCACGTGGAGCCCCGGGATTTGAACTCAGGTTAGAACGCTTGGTGGCAGAGGCCTTTATCCACTAAGTCACCTCAATGGTCAAATAATGACTTTTGAGAACATATTTCACGTACTAAAACTGATTCTTTTGAGGACTTTATTTCATAGGAACTAAATTTTCACCTGACTTAAACTTTTTTGTTTATTGTGTATGCGTATGAATGGGAGTCTGGGTGAGTTTTGTGCATTCAGGGGTCTTGAGGGCTAGGCAGGACTTCAGAGCCCCTGGAACAGGAGTTAGAGGCTTCTGTGAGCTGCCATGTGGGTTCTGGGGACCAAACCCAGGTCCTCTGCATCAGCAATGAGTGTTCTAACCACTGAACCATCTCTCCAGCCCCCAACTGACTCTTTAGATTTGGCCACATTGCCATTTTTCTATTTTGCATGTTCCCTCCCATAAATGCATTTGGGGTAAAAACCTTTACCACATTATGCGTCCCCAGAAGGTAGCCTTATCTATCAAAGTCACTGTTTTAGAAATATGGAAAACGGTATAAGCCTGCAGCAAAATTACAGTTTCCTATTTTGCTGGTGAGATTAAATTAAGAGCAAAGGAAAAGGGTTCACAGGAGAGCAGCCACTGGCTGAGGAAGAGGAACAGCAGTGCTGGCTGTTGGTTCCCTCCCACTCTCCCTCCCTCCCTCCCTTCTTTTCTTTTTTTTTTCCCCCCCCGAAGGCAGGCTTTTTTGTAGCCCTGGCCGTCCTGGAACTCACTCTGTAGACCAGGCTGGCCTCAAACTCAGATCCGCCTGCCTCTGCCTCCCTCGTGCTGGGATTGCCTAGTTCAGGTTGGTTGACTTAATGGGCTGCCCACAGTGGGAGGAAGCCTAGCACTAAGATCCCCACTGGACCACTGCCCTGCAGCTGATGATGTCTTACTTCCCTTTCTGTGGCACTGCTGTGTTCTGTTCATGCCATCTTATTAGGTGAAGGCTCATTTGCTTTGGGATTTGACATTTGGGGTTCACCTTCCTCTGAGGCAAACATCAGAGAAACCTAAACCGAGGTCTCAGCACGTGACTCAGTGGGTAAAGGTGATTGCCGTTAAGCCTGAAGACCTGAGTTAGATTTCCAGGCCTCCGTGGCAGAAGGGGCCAGACTACATCTGCAAGCTGCACTCTGACCACAGGCAGGCGGTGGCATATCTCCTTCTCTGTAAGTAAGAACACAACACAGCCAACCGGCGCCTCTGTCCGCGGAAGCTCAGAGCCCGCAGGGAGGCAGAGCTGTGAACAATGAACACCTGAACACCGCAGTCTGCAAGCGCTCTGGGAAGCTTGCCTATTCTTGCGCCATGGAAACCCAGGGGAGGTGGTCGAGGGCTGCCTGGTGAACCCACTGTGCCAGGGTGGTGACCCTCAACTTCAGCCTTTACATTTTATTAATTCCTACTTTTATTTTTGAGAGGAGGCTTCAGGTAACCGGGCTGGTTTTATCTCTGTGGGATGACCTCCTTGTCCCCACCTCCGCAGTGCTGAGTGTCAGGTATATGCCGCCATACCCGGTCTAAGTGGACTCTGTGTGCTGTTGGGCACTCTGCCAACTGAGCTGATAAATCCTTGGTCCTGAATGAGAAGAGGGCTGGTTAAGGACCATTCAGTTAGCAGTATCACTGGTGCAATGCAAAGGTTCGTAACTCAAGGGACAGAAGAGCCTGGTGTGTTCCAGGAATCACAGACTGAAGGGCAAAAGACTAGAATTTAGTGACAGCCGATTAAATAACCCATTGATTGTTTAGTCAAGTGTTGCGGTTGCTCCCATTGATTGTCTGATTAAAATGAAAAGCAACCACCTTACATGTCTGGATTACTATGTACCTCAGAAACCAGTGTAGAAAATAGGGTCTACTGTGGCGAAGGGGAAACAGATTGCTGGGGCGAGGGATTCCATAATTCTGCCAGAGTCCCTGAGTATCCGGACAGTCGGCGTGAAGGAAGTTCTGCTTAGAGGTCCCTCAGCGAGACTTACCTACTACGGTGAGCTCCAAACTAAAGGAATTCTGCCCGGTTTTGTTGGTAGCCACGCACGTATAGGTCCCTGCGTCGCGTTGCGTGAGCGGGTCGATGAGCAGAGAGTGGACCCCCGTCTCTCTGACCAGCATCTTGTGGGAGGCATCTGGTAGCACGGGTCGCCCATTGAGCAGCCACGTCAGCTCTGGGGGCGGTAAGCCACTCACCTAAGAACCAACGGAACAGCTGATTCAGGTGGCGCGCTGACGACAGGCAGGTTTATCTGGTGAGTGGATGCTTTATCCTTGTTGGCACCAGATAGAAGGCGAAGGGAAACGCGGGGAAGAGGGATCTAAATGAACGGCGCCGTGAGTTTGAACTGTGTGGAATCCTGGCCTCCCTTCAGCCACGATTAACCCGTGTGATTATATCCTCGAGCGGAATAATGGCTGAGCTGAGTGGATAAAACAGGCCGTGGCATCAATAAGAGGGCTGACTTCAGCTTAGACACCAGAACTACAGAAGAGTCAGATATTAAATCAGACTTCTCAGATTTTGCTCATGGACTAAGTATAAAAAAAATCTTGATGACTAATTATAATATTAAACCAGAATCTCTTGGGATGGGAGCCAGGCACCGGTAGTGTTTGGGGTTTAGAGACAGGAGAGCATAGAACCTGAATGTCATTTAGACAGCAGCTGAGGAGGATAAGAGCCACGCACAGGAAGGGGTTGTCTGCGCATGTTTAAACTCCAGCCTTCACTGACCTGAACCTATGAAGCTTCACTGATAAATCAGAATGTAGAATCACAACAGGTAACAGAGGTGGCTTAGTGTGGGAAACAACCCTGTTCTTTCAGAGTGCTTTGGCTCTGTCTTCTCACACCTATGACTTTTCAAAGGTTCTCCCCTCCCTACAACCAAAGATGCAAAAAAAATCTAAGCTTCTGGCTTCATAGCAATAAAGGATTCCAGGGACCATACGGAAAAGTACACGTTAGTCCTTTTTGGTTATCTTTTCACAGTGAAGAATTGACTTATGTAAGGCCCACATAAAACAGTTTTTTTTCTTTAAAAATTTTTATGCTTACATAATTTTTATTAAGATAGTTTAAGATTTTAATGCATATTTCTGTATGGTATTAAAAAGACAAAATGCTCTAAAGGAGCCTATGGCAGGGACAATTTCCCTCCCTTCCCTAAGACTCTTCTGTCTGGGAGAAACCCCACATAACAAACACAGACAAAAATGAGTGCAAACAAGGAACTAGATGAAAACTCGGGACAGGCCTGGAGCTAAGGACAGGTGTTTGGAAGTACCTTACAGTCCAGCCGGCAGAGACGGCCCTCGTGAGCCACCATGTCACCTGGGGCCTGCAGGAAATGTGGCCGGAAAAAACGCTCCTGTAGAGGCTCCTTGTCTCTCTCTTGCATTCTGGCCCTTCCCCTACAAGAAGCATTTGCAAATGTATATCAATAACCACGTGCATTTAGAAATGGCTATAAGGCTATAATGAGGCAGGGTCTCCTGTAGCCTGGGCTGAGCTCAATAAGTAAATCCAGGATGACCTTGAACTGGTTCCCCTGTCTCTACCTCCTGAGTTCTGACCTTATAGGCAAGCGTCGTTACACCCAATTTATGTAGTACCTACTGGAGATGGAACCCAGGACCTGGAGCATGCTAGGTAAGTACTCTACCAAATGAACCACACCCTACAGTAGAAAGGCTTCACTGGACAGTCAATCAATCACAGCTTAGAATTGATACACACACACACACACGCACGCACGCACGCACGCACGCACACACACACACACACGCACGCGTGCCAAACCAAACTCAAACAAAACCAAAACTCCTTGTGGCATTGTACATTGTAGAATCATCTCTAAACTCTGAAATCCAGGAAATAGGCTCCAGACTGGATGCCCCCAGAGGACCCAAGTTCAGTCCCCAACGCCCACTCCGGGTGGCTCACAAGCACCTGTGACTCCGGCTCAAGAGGATCTGCTGTGTTCTGTGCACACACCCTGACCATACATGTAATTAAAAACAGTGGAAATAAAACAAGCAAGACTTAGTTTCTTCCTCTCTGAAGTTATTCAGCACTAATTGGCTTAGCTCCCTTCTCTGTGGGCTTTGGAACTTGTTGAAAAGTCATCAAAATAAACACAGAAATCAGTACTCCATCTGAGAGCCCAAAGTAAGGCCCTCCCAAAATCACCCAGAACAAAATGGCTGTGACCACAATAAAATTCAGCCCGGCAATAAATTATGGCTGATAATTAAACATGACCATGAACTTGAACTCAGTCAGAGTGACCAACAGTAACAGCTGTTCTTGAAAACAAAACAAAATAGCAAAGATAAAGGAAGCGTCTTGCCGAGGGTAGTGTAACACTATGTGAAACATGGGCCTCTATTTTTGGTCCTTTAGTAAGTCATTTAACTCATCAGCCTCAGCAGCAATCTGCTAAGACTTTGTGGCACCCTAAGACTCCAGGGGAAAGCCAGGCTCTTTCTCATTAGTACTTCATAAAATCTGAGAAGAAAATCAGTTATCATGGAGATGACAGCGGAAATATTCTAGTTTCTGTCTGGCAATAAACAAGCCTGTGGTTTCAAAGGGTCTGTCAGGCATTGTGTGCACAGGCTACAATGTTTTGAACCATAACAATTGTATCAAAGGGACTGGGAATGTTGCTCAATTGGGCTAGTGCCTGTTTAGCATGCATGAAGCCAGGTTCATTCCCCAGTAAGACAAAGACTGGGTGTAGTGGTGCAAGCCTATAATCCCAACACTTAGGAGGTGAAGGCAGAAGTATCAGATTAAGGTCATCCTCTGCTATAACTGAGGGCAGCCTGGGCTACATGGCAGACTGTTTTTTTTTGTTTTTTGTTTTTTATAAATGCCAAAGCCTGAAGCTTCTCAAACTTAAATGTGCCCATGCATCTCTTGGCGATTCTGTTTGAAGTGCGAATTTTGACTTGGATGCTCCAGCTCTGGACCAGGCTTGATGTCTGTATTCCAAGGAGCCCCTGGTGGTAGCACAGCGTGTGCCGTACATTTAGGTAGTGAGTCACTGTGATGAGTGGGGACATGGGAGGGGTCCAGAAAAGAGGGGTCTGCATTACCTGTGAGACTGACCAGCAGGGCTGAGTCTGTTTCGAATGGGCAAACTCTGTACCATCAAGTGGCCAGAACAGCTGATTCTCCCCTGGCAGAAAACAAGCAAAATTAAAATAAGGAGAAATGCACATTTACATAAATGTTTTCTTCACCAAAACATTATACATTTTTTTCTAACAATGAAAGACTATCTTTGCCCAAGAGAAATGAAAGCAATACAATTTTAGTTTTGTTTTTCGAGACAGGGTTTCTCTGTGTAGCCCTGGCCGTTCTGGAACTCACTCTGTAGACCAGGCTGAACTTGAGCCCAGAGATCTGCCTGTCTCTACTTCCTGAGTGCTGGGATCAAAGGCATGTGATAGCACCTCCCAGTTAAGAAGTTAAGAGAGCTTGCTGCACTTCAGATGACCAGAGTCGTTTCCGGCATCCACACTATCGCCTGTTACTCCAGTTCTAGGGGATCTGACACCCTCTTCTGGTCCCAGAAGGCATCTGCATCACACATACAATCTTTAATTATATGTGTGTGTGGGGGGGGTTGGGGTGGGGACTGAACATGGGTCTTCTGGAAGAGCAGCAAATACTCTTAACTATTGAGCCAATTCTCCAGCCCCCTGTTTTCGTGTTGATTTGTTTTCTGCCTTCAAACTCAATGCATTGTCACTGGATCACTCCTTCTGATGCCCGGGAGCCCTGCCACCCACCTGGGGGTTGGCCGCCATGATGGTGTAGTTGCCGTCATCATCACCGTTGGTGGATTCGATGTGCAGGGAGCAGGTCCCGTCTCCTTCTCGCCTCATTCTGCAGTGCTCACTTCTCTTAGAGATCTGTTTCCCATCTTTGAACCAATAAACCTGGAGGGAGAAGGAGCTGTTGGTGAGGACTCACCATGCCAGAGCTTCAGAATATGAGACGGAAGTTGAATGCCATCCCTGGGACAAAACACTCATCTTCTGCAAACATTTAGAAAAATCATAAGATATATTCAAAAGGACAGAATGCTGTGCACCTCCTTCTGCACCTATACAGAACTCCAGTAAGAAATACGATGTAGTTTAGCATGCGGTAAAGCTTTTGACTATCTTTATTGTACCTCATAATTAGCTTAAGGATGTTTTACGGACCAAATATGTCTTCACAGGTAAAATAATGAACACAGGAACTTGGATCATCCCCTATTATCCTATGTAAACCCCAGCCACGAAGCTGAAAGGCTAGGATGGTTTATTGGATCAAAAGGAATAAGGCTAGGATCAAGTTGCTAAATTTAAGCCCTGGCCCAAAACCAAACTCTAAGACTGAAATCAACACAGATTTGCTGTGCAAATATGTCGGTGGTGAGCACTGCACGAGCCTCAGTGAGTTCCTCAAGGCGGGGCAGGGAGGTGGGTGGGAGGAGGGCGTGGGGGGCAGAGGGATAAAGTACTGGTTGTAGGTGCCCACTTCGCCTCTTCCTTGGTTACCGATCCGTGTGTGGCAGTACTGCTCTTGTGTTTGTGAAAGTGGATCCCCTGCCGCAGCCACACCGGTGCAAATCCTTCCCTGATTGCCAAGGAATGTGGTGACTCAGAGGATTGTTCAGCAGCCAACACCAAGCACGGGGCATTGCTGGCGTTTGCTAACCTAACAGCAAGGACACTAAGATATCCCTCTCTGTACAGCAAAGGGCACCGTGTGGGTGCTGAGTAGAAACTAACCCTAATGGAGAAGAGTAATCTTGTGAGTTTGATGAGAGTCAATAATCCAGAACAAGGCAGCATGACGAAGAAATTTGTTCTACACTTTTATTAAAATTCTAACAAGGTCTGAAGTGGTGTCGCACGCCTTTAATCCCCGCCCTCCAGAGACAGAGGGAGGTGGATCTCTATGGCTGTGAAGCCAGCCTGGTCTATATAGAGAGGCCCAGGACAGTCAGGACCCTGCCCAAAAAATAAAAAAATAAAAAACCCTAACGAGTCTGATTTCTTTTTGGCCTAATAATCCTGTTCCTGATCTTTTTTTTTTCTAAATCACCTGGGCTTTGCTAATTTTTGAGTATTATTTTTCATTTTTATTCTGTAGATGTTTCACTACAGTATAAGTTGTTGTTTTTTTTTTTTGTGTGTGTGTGTGTTTTGTTTCATGCAGCCTAGGCTGGCCTCGAACATATTCTATAGCCAAGGATGGTCTTGAATTCATGATTCTCCTGAGTGTCGAGATTACAGACATGCATCACCATGTCTAGGTTTTGTTTTTTGCTTTTGTTTATTTGTTTGGTTTGGTTTGGGGTTTGATTTTTTTTTCCCCAGACACGGTTTCTCTGTGTAGCCTAGGTTGTCCTGGAACTGGCTTTGTAATCTAGACTGGGCTTGTACCCAGAGTTCTGCCTGTCTCTGCCTCCTGATTTTTGGGATTAAAGTCATGTGACACCACCACCACCCAGTCAAAAAAAATTTTTTTAATATTGTTTTGAGGACTGAATCCAAGGTTTCATGCATACTACATTCCAAGCCTGAAACTTTTCTTTTTTCTTTTCTAGTGGGTGGGTGGGGGTTCAGGAAGAGGCCAGAAGAGGGCATCAGATGCCCTGGAGCTGGAGTTACAGGTGGTTGACAGTGTTGGGAACTGAACGCCCATCCCAGCAATTGCTCTTAACTGAGAAGCCATCTCTCTTACTCCCTGAGATTTATTTTCTGATCTAGAGGACACGTTAGAGCAAGAACTCTGCCGCTGAGCTACATCCCAGCCCCGTGAGACTTTCTGAAAGAACTTGTAGATAGTTCCACGCTGCTGATGGTCACCTGGCAGGCCATCTTCCCTACCTTTGGAACCGGGATCCCGACAATTTTGCAGGTGAAGGTGACTGGAGAGCCTTCCATCACCCGGAAGTGCTTGAGTCTTTTGTCAAAGACGGGTGCGATACACTTGCCCGTGGGGATTTCATCATGCTGGATCTCGTCATCTGATTCGTCCACGGGCGTGCGCTCCAAGCGGAACTCTATCTCATTCATCAGCCTCTGCTCAAAGCTCGAAATTTTATACTCCTGCCAATCGGAAGGGGACACTGAAATTTCTATGTAAAAAACTTTATTATTATTAGTGTGTAATGGGTCACGCATGCGTGCCAGGACAGCATGCCAATGTCCCAGACAGCTTCCTGGAGTTCATTCTTAGTTAGGGTTTCATATATATATGTATATATGTATGTATATATATATATATACATACATATATACATATATATATTACTTTTACTTTATGTGTCTGGATGTTTTGCTTACACATATGTCTGTGTAGCATGTACATGCCTATGAGCCATCATATGAGTACTTGACATTGAACCCGGGTCTTCTGAAAAGATATATAGTATTCTTAACCATGGAGTCATTTCTCTGGCCCCTTAGTTGAAGTTTCTATTGCTGTGATAAAGACTATGACCAAAAGCAACTCTGAGAGGACAGGGTTTATTTCATCTTACAGCTTCCATTATCCAGGGAAGTCAGGGCAGGAACTCAAGGCAGGAACCTGAAGGCAGGAACTGAAGCAGAGGCCATGGAATAACGCTACTTACTGGTTTGCTCTTCATGGTTGCCCAGTTTACTTTTTTTCCCTAAAGTATGTTATAGTTTTTATTTCATTTTATTTTATTGAGCTCTACATTTTTCTCTACTTCCCTCCCTTTCTTTCCCATCCCCTTCAACCCTCTCCCGTAGTCCCCATGCTCCCAATTTACTCAGGAGATCATGTCTTTTTCTACTTCCTATGTAGATTAGATCCATGTATATCTTTCTTAGGGTTTTCATTGTTGTCTAGGTTCTCTGGGATTGTGATTTGTAGGCTGATTTTCTTTGCTTTATGTTTAAAAACCACTTATGAGAGAGTACATGTGGTAATTGTCTTTCTGGGTCTGGGTTACCTCACAACACTCAAGTCCAAATGGATCAAAGACCTCAACATAAAGCCACACAGAACCTCATAGAAGAGAAAGTAGGAAGTATACTTGGCAGAGGAGACCACTTCCTAAATATAACCCCAGTAGCACAGACACTGAGAAAAACAATTAATAAATGGGACCTCCTGAAACTGAAAAGCTTCTGTAAAGTAAAGGACATAGTCAACAAGACAAAATGACAGCCTACAGAATGGGAGAAAGATCTTCACCAACCCCACATCAGACAGAGGTCTGATCTCCAAAATATATAAAGAACTCACGAAATTGGTCATCAAAAGAACAAATAATCCAATAAAAAAACAGAGTGCAGACCTAAACAGAGAACTCTCAGGAGATTAATCTAAAATGGCTAAAAGACACTAAAGGAAATGCTCAACATCCTTAGTCATCAGAGAAATGCAAATCAAAACAGCTCTGAGATTCCATTTTACACCTGTAAGAATGACCAAGATCAAAAACACTGATGACAACTTATGCTGGAGAGGTTGTGGGGAAAAGGGAACACTTCTGCATCGCTCATGGGAGTGCAAGCTGGTATAGCCCCAGTTTACTTTCTTATACAGACCAGGACCACTGCCCAGGGGTGGTACCACCCACAGTGGGCTAGGCCCTCTTACATCAGTCACTAATCGAGACAATATCACGCAGACTTGCCTGCAGCCCAATCTGATGTGACAGCTGGGTGGGATGGTGGCACACACAACACACACACCTTAAATCCCAGCACTCAGGAGGCAGAGGCAGGAGGATCTCTGTGAGTTTGAGGCCAGCCTGGTCTACAGAGAGAGTTCCAGGACAGCCAGGACTACACAGAGAAACAAAAGCAAAACAACACCAGCAACAGAAAAATAGATTCCCTCCTTCCAGAAATGTCAGGGTTTGTGTCAAGTTGAGGAGAGCCATCCGGCACCCCTCTACCTCTACCTTGTTATGGGTCCTGGGGAGGAACCCGCCTGGTAAGCTTTTGGAAAATAAGTGCATAAAAATATATCCGATAGTGAAAGTGTGAAATCCAGCTTCAGAAAGGCTGCTCAAAAGGTAGAGAATACCACAGACACGCACAGTTTGGGTCTGGCTCCCTTTGGTGTGTGGTTAGTCTTTCTGCAAGCTTTTTACAGTAAAGTTTATAAAATTAAAATATAAAACACACAGATTTACCTGATCAGTGTACCAACCGTGTAATACAATGCATGAACTGAAGATGAGCACTAAAGTAAGATTTTAGCCCGATTAGTTTATCTGCAAGCTTTTTATAGTGATGTTTATAAAATTAAAAATACAAAAAACCATATACAGCTAATCAATGTACCAACCATGTAGTACAGTGGATGAATTGATGAGCACTAAAATAATATAAAGGCCAAGTTGCTTCCGCGACAGATTAAACATTTGGCAGGTTGAGCTTCAGGAGCAAGGACACTGTGGCAGAGAATGCCGCCTAGCCTGTTACTAAATCCCTGAGCTCTGGGCAGTTTGGGCAGCACTTTGCTTGCTCTCAAGGTCAACTGTCTCTGCCACATACAGATCCAAGTGTAAAGTTCCAAGCAATGTCAGAGTTCCTAATGGACCATGTAAAATGCAAGCAGTGTGTTTACGTTACACCCATAGGTTCTTCCTGCACTGTCACTACAGATCTATCACCGATGGACGTCTATGTCCGACTTACCATTCTGGTTTAGGCCACTTCTCACTTCTGCCTTACTCACTCTCAGAATAAAAACGGAAAGTTTCTTTATTAGCTGCCTCCCGTGATCTCTGTACACACACACCTGAACACAGTTTAAGAGTGGGGTTGTGTGAGGAGAATTCTGAGTGCCTGTGAAAAGAACTTGAAGAAAATGAGAGTCTTGTGACATTGGTTTCTTCAAAACCACGGAATTGTTCTTGGGATGTGTTTTTGTGCCCCTCCCAGGTGTGGCAGATAGGAGTGAGTTTGTTTTAGATTATTAATACATCTGGCTATTGTTATTTGTTTATATGTCTGAAAAAATATGGCTTTGCCATGTGCAGTTTGTCCTTGTGATTGCTCACTTTACTCATGTGATTCTGTTTAACCCTCAGAGTATAGTCTGATGCTCTGCGGGGCAGTAGAGAAGCACGCCTTTAATCCCCGCACTTGGGAGGGAGGCAGGCCAACTTTATGAGACTGAGACCAGCCTGGTCTACAGAGTGAGTTTCAGAACAGTCAGAGCTACATAGAGAAAGCCTATCTCAAAAAACCACACACACACACACACACACACACACACACACACACACGTCTGATGCTCTAAATAAAAGCTGACTATTGCATGAGACTTTAGCCTGCTTCATTTTTAGGCTCCATTCTCACAAGTTTACTGCCAGCTAGAGTGATAAACACGCACAGCACAGACACAGACAGACAGACAGACAGACAGACACACCCTTCTGTGTAATATGGGCAGTATAGAACTCAAATCAATGATAAATGACCTGTCCTTTCTAGATTTCTGGTTTCGAGATTTCTAGAATTACAGCTGCTGTGCACACCCATAAACAGGTAAACCTGATGGGAGTGGTTCAGAGCCGCCTTCTCCATCAACAGTTCCCCAGCTGGCTCAGTGCATGCTCTGCCGTCAAAGCTGTGATCATCCTCTTAAGGACAGCCGACCTCAGCACCCAAAGACTGCATCAAACATTCTTAAAACAGATTTCACCCAACCATTTGCGTTCAACACTCTTACCTGCTGGTGTGATCTGAGATCTCCAAAATTCACTTTCTTCCCCAAGTCTAGAATCACTGAGTTCTTAGTCTCCAGGATGTAATCGTCACTCATTGCCGGGGAGGCCTTTGTGGTTTTTTTCATCAGACCCTGGGGCGGTCTGTAAAAGAAATCCGCACCCCTATGAAATGACTAGTCAGTGTATATAGGTTGGAGTGGATAAAATGACCACCTGACCTCAGCACTGTAAATAGAGGCATTTTATTTTATTATTTTGAGACAAGATTCCACATAGCCCAGGCTGGCCTTGAACTAGCTATGTAGTTGAGGATGATCTTGAACTTCTGATCCTCCCATCTTTGACTCTCAGCATTAGAATTAACAGGTGTGCAAACCACACACAGGTTATCAGATGCTGGGCACCGAACCTAGGGCTTCATTCAAGCTAGGCAAGTGCTCTACCAAATAAACTACCTGTTTTGTTTTGTTTTTCAAGACAGAGTTTCTCTATAGCTTTGAGGCCTGTCCTGGAACTCGCTCTGTAGACCAGGCTGGTCTCTAATTCACAGAGATTCACCTGTCTCTGCCTCTCGAATGCTGGTATTAGGCATGTGCCACCACCGCCTGGATGAACTGCCTAGTTTTAATTGCCAAGCATTGTGGCACACTGCCCTGGCACCCAATGGGCAGGTGAATCTTTGAGTTCCAGGCTAGCCTGGTCTACATAGTGAGTTCCAGGATAGCCAGGGTTACACAAAGAAACCCTGTCTAAAAAAAAAAAGAAAGATAGAAAGAAAGAAAGAAAGAAAGACGGGGGCTGGAGAGATGGCTCAGAGGTTAAGAGCATTGCCTGCTCTTCCAAAGGTCCTGAGTTCAATTCCCAGCAACCACATGGTGGCTCACAACCATCTGTGATGAGGTCTGGTGCCCTCTTCTAGCCTTCACGCATACACACAGACAGAATATTGTATACATAATAAATCAAAAAATATTTTTTAAAAAAAAAGAAAGAAAGAAAGAGAGGAAAAAAATCATGCCCCTTGCCCCGAGGCATTCAATATCCATTTTATATCTATTTAATGAGATTATATCAGAATCCCATCGCGCTGAGAGTCCTGGCTCAGGCCAAGCTATTCTATGCATGTGTCCCTCTTAACTGGCGTCTCCAAACCTTCAAGACACTTACACAGATGGTGCGCTTTTAGGCAGCCCCATGGCATTGGTGGGTGGAATGGATGGGAGAGAAGGCAGGACAGAGCTGAGGAAAGCCACTGGGTTCTGAATCCGACCGGTAGGAGAGACAGGAGTTGGGGACACACAGTGAGGCTGAAACTGGTTTCCACTGGGGATGGGATACGTGAGCGGTGGTGGCGGCGGCGCTGCCGGCTCTGCTGGGCCAGGAGGAGCTGGCTCATTTTGGATGGAGAGCCCCCCTGGAGATCTGCCTTGTGTAGAGGGGTGAGACAGTAAGAGGCTTTCTTTGCTGACCGTCCTCTGGATTGTCGGAGGAGTGTTACTCAGGGTGAAGACTGGGGAGCTGGATGGGGACACAGCTGCTGTGGAAGTGCTTGCAGAGGGGAAGAAATGCTTTGGCCGGGCCAAGTTGAACGTCTGTGGTGCAGAACCCTTCACCTGCTTGCTGGAAATGGTCACTGCAGGGGGAGCTGGGGGAGCCGAGTTCAAGGCGCTGAAGTTGAAAGTGGACTCCTTGGGTGATGAAGGAGATGCATTTTGCAGCTGCTGCTGTTCCAGTAACACTTGGTGATGAAGCTGCTGTAACTGGGTGGAGTCACTGCACGAAAAACAGCAGAGAGAGAGAGAGAGAGAGAGAGAGAGAGAGAGAGATTAACTTTTACTCTTGAAAGTGTCCTCCTGTGACACTGTGTATGGTGGGGCATGCCTAAATCCTAGCACTTGAGTGTTTGGTGAAGGAGGGTCAGGAGTTCAAGGCCAGCCTCAGTAAGGTCCTCCTTTCCTGCCAGGCCACATCACATAGTTTTAAAAACAACCAACAACAACAAAAGAAATGTCCTGATAAACTTTAGGCTTCTCTTGCTTATAAACATCACCTTTGACTTTTCTTGTTCTTAAAAAGAGGAAGGGGGCTGGAGAGACGGTTCAGTGTGTGAGAGCACTTGCTGTGCAGGTTTGAAAACATGGGTTCAAGTCCTTAGCACCCATGTGAAAAAGATGGTGTGGCAGCACATAGCTGGCACGGGGAGGAGGGCAGCAGGACCAGAGGGACTTTCTGGTTGCCAGTCAAGTTCCAAGCTGAATGAGAGACTGTGTCTCAAGGGAATAAGCAGAGAGAGACTGCAGGTATCAATGTCTTCCTTTGGGCATAGGAATCCACATACACATGCATACACCATACACAAATACACACACACTCACACTTGACATATATCATCACGTGCAAGCACAACATGAGAAAGAAAGAACTCTGGAGACGTGAGTGGTCTTGCAGTGGACCCAGGTTCAGATCCCAGCACCCACACAGTGGCTCACATTTACCTGTAATTCCAGTTTTTGGGGATCCGACTCCCTCTTCTGGCCTCCAAGAGCACCTGCACACATGTGCTGCACATAATCACACACACACACACACACACACACACACACACACACACACACGAAACATTTTGAAAAAGAAGTCAATAATCACCATGTTGAACCAGAGGCAGGCAGATCTCTGTGAGTTAGAGTCCAGCCTGGTCTACAAGAGCTAGTTCCAGGATAGGCTCCAAAACTACAGAGAAACCCTGTCTCGGAAAAAAAAAATAATTATTAGGTACAAGAAAGAGTATACTATTCTGGGAAAAGTCCAGAAATGCTTTACCTAGAGAACTCATTAGACAGGCATTTCCCAAATTTAGGAGCCACACTGTGTGGGTGGAATGTTAATAATGAGGAAGAGTGGAAAAGCGCATTTATGGGGACGCAAAGACGTCTGCTCTGCACGGCACTCATTGTCTGCTTTCTCTCTTGGAATTATGTTTTCCAACTCTGTCTTTTGTTTGCTTGGGTCTGAGGCAAGATCTCAAGAAGCCCAGGCTGGCCTCAAACTCTGTGTGAAATTGAAGTTGACCTTGAATATCAGATCCTCTTGCCTCCACCTGCTAAGTGTTTGCAGGTGTGCCTGACTTCCCCTACTGCAGTGCCGGGGCTCAAACCCTGCACCCTAGGCAAGCGCTCTGGTAAGTGAGCTACATCCCCAGCCCAGCTCTACTATTAACATTTTTAAATTTAATTTTTAGTGTGTTTGTGTGTGTGTGCATGCGTGCACACACCTATGTATGTATACACGTGTGTGTGCAGAGGCCAGAGGATGCTCGTGAGAGTGGCTTTTCTTTTACCACATGGGTCCCAGGGATTGAATCTTGGTCTTGAACCTGGGCCTTTAGGCTTGTATGGCAAGCACCTTTATCCAATTGAGCCATCCTGCCAGCCCCCATCTCTATAATTTTTAGGTCAGACTCATGGGAGTAGGTGGAATCAAGCAGACGCCATGTAGCTGCCAAAGGAGAAAGACACCGCATGCCAGAACCTTACCTGTAGGCTACAGCCTCGCGGCGATACACAGATTAATAGAAATGGGTTAATTTAAGATGTAAGAGCTAGTTAGAAATATGCCTGAGACATTGGCCCAACAGCGTTGTAATTAACCTAGCTTCTGTGTGATTATTCAGGTCTGGGCTGCTGAGAACGAATCAACAGTCTTTTCACACATGGAAGGCACACAGACACTCACAGTCATTCTTTCTATTTTTACTTACAGTTTGGGTTTAGCCAGGACGGGAGGGGGCTCTTTGACAGGTGAGGAAGGCTCTGGGGTCCTGGTTTCCTGTCCGTTGAACTTCTCAGGGAAGGAGTTGGGCCTAGTGTGGCTGGCGTTGGCTGCTCCACTGCCAGAGGAGGCCTCACTGTCTCTGTCATCCTCTGGCAGGTTGAAGTGCACCCGTAGCCCGATCCTGGAGCTGGAGCGGGGCTCGTTATGGTTCACCAGGACCCCTTCAAGCTTTGGCTTTGGGGGCTGTTCCTCAGAACGAGGCTCTAGGTTGGGTGGGGAGGGCTGTTGCTCAGCCACAGCCAGGGTGGTAGTTGAGTTGGTGGAGTGAAGAGCCCCGTTATCGCTGAGGTCTTCATTTCCTGAAAGGACAATTAGATTAACTTGAGCTGGAGGCCACCAAGAGGACTGAGCCGAAAGTGTCACCTGGAGCTAGGGCACAAGTAGGAAAATATCAGTCCATGGAAACACACACCAGGAAGATGCTTGCTCAAGAGCTTTCAAGAATGGTGAAGATGTTAGGAAAACTGAATTGAATATCTGAGTGCATGCATGTAGTGCTGTGGAATACAGGCTTGGTTTATTTGAGCGTGTGGGTGGGCTCGACTCCCTGAGTCCCTACCTCCAGAATCTAGGCATTCTGGGTTTTATTTTGATTTGTTTTGTTACAAGACAGGGTTTCTTTGTGTAACAGCCCTGCCCTGGAACTCACTCTGTAGGCCAGGCTGGCCTCAAACTCACAGAGATTTCTCTGCCTCTGCCTCCTGAGTGCTGGGATTAAAGGTCTGTGCCACCACACCTGGCTATGTTCTGTGTGTTTTACGTGTGTGTGTTTTACATATGTGTGTGTGTGTACATGTGGAGGCCAAAGGAAGACTTCAGGAGATCTCTTTCTCCCCAGGGCAGCGATTACAAGCATAGGCTACCATGCCTGACTTTTGCACGTAGATCCAGGGCACTGAACCCAGGCGCTCGAGCTCGTGAATCAAGCACTTCACCTACTGAATACCTTCCAACCCCTTGAAGTACTCTTAAGAATCTGAGTGGTTTATATAAAGCCACAGAGCTGCTTTCTCGGGAGCTATGAAGAGACAGCAGGGCCACTGAGAAGGCTGTGGCTGCAAGGGGAATGAGAACTTGGAAAATGGACATTGTCCATAAATGTTTCTTGGAGACAGGGCCTCAGGTATCCTAGGCTGACCTTGAACTCACTCTGTTGCCAATGACCTCTCCTGCCTTCGCATTCCCAGTGCTGGGATTACAGGCATGTACCTTATGGTCTGGTTTACGCAGAGCTGGAGAAGAACCCGGGGCTTCGGGCTTGCTAGGCAAGCACTCCACCAGCTGAACTATAGTCTGCAGTCACAAGAACATTTTCCTTCACACTGTTATTAGTTTATTTTGTGCATGTGTGTATACAGTCATGCAGGCATGCCAAAATGGGAGGGAGGAGGTCAAAGGACAACTGGCTGGAATCAGTGTTCCTCTTGCACTGTGTAGGTCTAGGGGACTGAATTCTATCAGTCAGGCTTAGTGGGAGGGACCTTTACCTGCTGAGCCATCTTATCACCAGCCCCCAGGAACAACTTCCTTAATAATCAAAAATTTTCAGAGATACTTTATTTTAGGTGTGAGTGCTTTGCCTGTATGTATGCGTGCCCTACATGTATGCAGTGCCCTTGGAGGCCAGAAGAGGGTGCTGGATAGCCTGGTTCTGGAGTAACGGATGGCTGTGAGGCTGCCCTGTGAATGTTGGACGTCGGACCTTGGTCCTCGGGAAGTCTAGCCAGGGCTCTTCTTAACTGCTGAGTCATTTCGCCAAGCCCCAATTTAAAATCTTGTTTTCAGTCAGTCTTGCACTTCATTGCCTTTCCACAACAGGTTTTGACCGCACACTTACACAGCAGGTAATCTGAATCTTTATGATCCATACATGAATCAGAAAGAAAGATACTCTGAACTGGGCATTGGTGGCACACACCCTTAGACTCACTCCTCAGGAGGCAGAGGCAGGTGGATCTCTGTGAGTTTGGAGCCAGGCTGGTCTACAGAGTGAGTTTCAGGACAGCCAAGGCTAAATAGAGAAACCATGTCTCAAAAAACAAAAACAGAAACTACAAAAAGACTCTGAAGTTACCACTCCCAGTCTAACCGCTAGGGGGCGCTCACCTTTCACGTCCAACTGGGCAATGCTGGACACGGTGCCGTATTTGTTGCTTGCGGTGCACGTGAAGCATCCGGAATCTTCCGAAAACACCTCAGCAATGACTAAAGTGCAGATCTCCTCTGTGTGCCAGTAAGACAGAAAAGTTAACGACCTAATCGCGGAGACGGAGTTGTGAGACTAAATGATACCAAATGGAGGTTCTATAAACATTGACATAGGGGCTGACTTCATTAGTTCTTTGAAAACAGCTGCACCGGGTAACTATTGGAGCAAACTGACCGGTTAGGAGGCTGAAAGAGTCCAGATACATAGACCAACGGCTCATGCTGACAGGCTGGGTACTGACAAGACGGTTTGGAGATGATGCGTTGGATACAACGCTAGGGGAACCCTCTAACGATTGAGCTACATCCCCCAAAGGGGCGGCACAGGTTGGCCTCGAACTCCTGATTTCTTATTCTCTTCAGCATTTGCCATCGAGGATGAACCAAGACCAGTGGTTGCCCATAATACACATTCTGTTTCTATGTCATCAATCCAGATGACAAAAATTAACTAACAATTAACTAGTAAGAAGTCACAAAAACACATTGGGCGGGGGTTGAAGGGAAAGGAAGTGTGTGTGTAACAGAAAAATTAATGAAACAGTTTTCCGAACCCCAGTCTCTCGTTGGTTTCATGGGGAAATTTCACAGTGAGATCATTTAAAACAAAGGCCACAGTTTAAAACTGGCCAGAAGGGCTGGGGTGGTGGTGGGGTGCATCTTGGTGAGAGAGCTCCTGCGTGAGATCCTGGGTTTGATCCCCAGCAGCACAAAAAATTGGACAGTCAAAGGCTACTTTGTTTAAGTAGTAGCAATTTGCTGGGAGAGAGAGAGAGAGAGAGAGAGAGAGAGAGAGAGAGAGAGGGAGAGAGAGAGAGAGAGGGAGAGAGATTTCAGGGGAGAGGAGATGGAAGAGCCATCTCCCTTTGGAATGGCATAGTCACACCCATGGATCAGCCTGATACACAGTATGGAGTCTTGAGAGTGACGACACAGGTAATTCTCAGAAATGACTAGATCCTGAAATTAATGCAGTTAGATGTTTTTGAAAACTGGAGACGAACAGGGTCATTAAAACAAAATTACTAAAACAGCTGTGTTAGGGGACGCTTGGCATCTCAGGACTTCATGCTGACTGATTTAAGTCAACTAGAATCCTCCAGCGAAGCGGTTCTCAACCTATGGGTTGCAACCCCTCCGGGGGTTAAATGACCCTTTCACAGGGGTCACCTACTACCATCGGAAAACAGATATATTTATGTTATGATTCAGAACAGTAGCAAAATTACAGTTATGAAGCAGCAATGAAAATAATTTTATGGTTGGGGGTCACCACAACATGAGGAACTGTATTAAAGGGTCCTGCATCAGGAAGGTTGAGAGCCACTGTCTAAAACTTCCCAGGAGGCCACGGCAGGCAACGCTGGTTAGTCCTTAGGTCTTTATTCTACGCCCTATGGTCTAGCGTAGGTATGAGATACAGATGGTCTGTGCTTCCTTCCGGAATGCCCGTGCTGTTAGAAGAGAATTGCAATGGCATTGCCAACTGTCTCCTCACCCAGAGCCACAAAGACAGCCTGAGGGCTCTGCTTTGTAAATGGCTCGCTCCGTCTATGGCAAATGCCTCACGGCTCTCACTTCTGCTTCAGCGTTCTCCAAAACCAACTCAAGAAGCAGCACACGCGCTGTATTTAATTTCAGCACGTTCCTGAATCTGGTCTATAAAGTATTTCTTTGTTTTGTTTTGACTCGTTCTGGGGTTCAAACCCACGGCTTTGAGTAAGCTAGGCAAGTGTTCTCAATGATCAATATTCTCAGCCTCTCGTCTACTAAGTTTGAGAGACACAAAAGCTGAGGAATCAGACATCAAAGAAATTCCGAGCCCCATTTCGAGGAGAGCATAAAATGAGTGGGAGTGATGGTCACAGGGAAAACAGCCCCAGGAACACAGAAAATTAGCTATACTGGGGCTGGAGAGATGGCTCAGCGGTTAAGAGCATTGCCTGCTCTTCCAAAGGTCCTGAGTTCAATTCCCAGCAACCACATGGTGGCTCACAACCATCTGTAATGAGGTCTGGTGCCCTCTTCTGGCCTGCAGGCATATATGTACACAGGATATTATATACATAATAAATAAATAAATATTTTAAAAAACAAAAAAAAGAAAATTAACTATACTAATATCAGATATTAAATTGATATGAAAATTTGAGCATACCCCTCTCCCCCACTTCTACAATAACAGCTAGAGTTCATTTGGATCTTTCTAGAACTTTCTATTTTCACCTTTTCTTGACTGCTTTCACACTTTTAGAATGATTATGTTTCCACATATGTGTATCTCAAACCACTCATCACACGTTAGTAAGTTAGCATTGAGACAAACTTTACCTGGTTCTGCCATGGACCGAGGTTCTAAAGGGAGAAAAAACAAAAGGTCATGAGTGTCTACTTTACTGAGAAGCTACGTTTCCTTCAGAAGCTTCCGGTAGAGTCTCTGTGTCTGACTTACTTGGGGGTGAAGGGATAAGGACAATCTGTCAAGGTTAAGTAATAACCCAAGTACAGGTGACCTCAATAAGGTCACAGAGGGACAGCTGGAGGCTGCTCAGTGATGCTTCAGTGAACATGAGCTTCAGACCCGCGGGCAGGGAAGAATGCCAAAGGGATTCAAAGGACTAGTGTCTGTCTGTCTATCTATCTATCTATCTATCTATCTATCTATCTTGTGCAAGCCACAGCAATTATGTGGAGGTCAGAGGACAATTTACAGGACTCAGCTCTTCCCTTCCGTCCTGTGGAATCCGGGATAAAACTCAGGTCTTAAGGCTTGAAGTTGGGAGCCTCTACCTGCTGAATCATCCACTGGCCCATGACTTGCTTCACCTGGGAGAAAGTTTATGATGTTTGAGAAATATCTCTTGGCTCTGGGCCCTCCAGGGCCTCTAAAACGTATCTTCTTCCTTCAATAAGCTTGTAAGCTTAAGATCCTAAGGACATGGAAAAGATCCTGGAAGGCCAGTCCACCATCTTACAATTGTTTGGTTTTCCTCCAAGTGCCTACCACTAAGTACAGGTGTTCCACAGACATCTATCCGATCGTAGGCATTCAGCAAATACTGCGCATCTGCGGCACATCTGCTTCTACACAATACGCAGAAGTATGGAAGCGTTTGTCTTTTCTCAGCTAAACGGTGTGCAAAATTATCACCGTTGCTGCCCCCATGCATGTCAGAGGAAAAGTCTTCCCAAGTCAGTTCACTTCCTCCTCTGTACGGGTCTGGGGATTGAAGCCAAGTTGTCAGCCTAGAAGGCTGGCAGCTTTATCCACGGAGCCATCTCACCGGCCCATGTCTTAGACTAGATTAGAGGCAGAACTCTTGCCTGGCATGCAGAAGGTCCTGGGTTCAATCCTTTCTACTGCAAGAAAGAAAACCATTATAATTATGGCTGTCAAAATGGTTCAGTGGGTAAAAGCACTTGTCACCAAGGCCGGTCACCTGGGCTCAATCCTCAGGACACACACGCTGGAAGTGGGAAACTCTGCCCGCAACTTGTCCTCGCCCTCATAGGTATGCGGTAGTACATGTATGCACACATACAATACATAGTGTAACTAAACTCTAAAATAATAAATAAAAGTAAGAAAGCTATATTAATATGGAAAGGTGTTTATGAACTTTTGTGTAAAAAAAAAAGCAGCTGTAGTCGGGCGTGGTGGAACATGCTTTTAGTCCTGACACTTGGGAGGCAGAGGCAGGAGAATGAATCTGTGAGTTCAAGCCCAGTCTGGTCTACATAACTCAATGTCAGTCAGAGCTACACAGTGAGATCCCATCTCAAAAAGTAAAATCAATTATATATATAATTAAGTAATTAATAAAGATATATATCTTTTTAAATTAAAAATATGTATAGAGAAATCTTGGAGAATATATACCAACAGAATACAATTTATTCTTAGGAGATAATTCTTAAAGTGATTTTTATGTTAGTTTAAAATTTTTAAAAAGTTCTTTTGTGCCTATGGGTGTTTCTGCCCACAGCTTTGGTCTGTGTACATTGAGCTTGCAGTGCAGGGGCTAGAGGGCGTAGGAGCCCCTGGAACTGGAGTTACAGACAGTTGTAAACTTCCCTGTGGGAGCTGGCAATTGAACCTGGGTCCTCCGGAGGAACACCCAGTGCTCTTACCTGCTGTTTGCCCCTTTATGTTGGCTTTCTACTGTCTATTTAACTTGTTGTTAAAAAAACACAAAGACAAACCTATATGAAACACTTGTCTAAAAAGGCAAGACTCAGAAAAGCATCCACTTACTCTTCTGTAAGATCCTGAAGTCCGGAGAGTCTTCTATTAAGGTTCCTTCTCGGTACCATTCGACTTTCGGGGACGGGGCTCCTTTCACCCGGCACTCGAAGACAACCAGCTGTCCCTCAGAGGCTGACAGGTTCTGTAGCATCTGGGACGAGAGGAGTATGTTATCACCCAAGCGCTTGGGGACCGCATCCCACGGAGTATGTTATCACCTGAGCGCTCAGGGACCGCATCCCACAGTGGGATTTTAGGGACACCGTCTCTACCTCTGCATTCTTTGCAAATCTACGTCTCCGGCAGCGTCAAGCCAGGGAGTCTAGTCTGAGTCTAGTCTGGAAGACAGCGCCACCCAACCCTTCTGGGACCCTTTCTTCATTATTTCTTGCCTTTGCCTCCATTTAAGTGCTAATCAAACTTATTAAGTACTAGGTCAAACATTTTGAATAAAGGAGATAATTTTTTTAGTAATTTTTGTTTTCATTTGTTAGTTTTCTTTTGTATTCACTCTTATAATTTGGATGTTTTTGTTTTTTATAATTCTTGTCTAAACAAAACTTCTGATATTTCGTGCATTGCCCTGACACATTTGTAACCCTTGTCTAGTGATGTGGGCTGCATAGACACCCCCCCCACCCCACAAAACAGCAATGAGTAACGCCTAACACAAAATGATAAACCCACTTAAAAATACTACAAAGTAGGGTGGTTTGGGTCAACTGCCCAGTTTTGCAGCCTGAGTTTTGTAGGTGACAAGGTCTTGTCCCAGGGTCAAAAGGTAGAACTCTGGCCTGCCTGAACACAGCAGCTGGCATTAATTCAGAGATGTCTGTGCAGTGGCTTTATGACTGCCAGGGGGCACTGTCGTCAACATCAGGATTTTGTTCTTTATATAGTGCCAAATTGGCTTGCGGAAACCATTCATGACCTGAATAACACAGAGTGGTTTATGAATCCATAAACGTGCTATTGGATTGAAAATTCCAGCTATTCCTCACTTCCCCACACAAGGTAGAAGGCAGATGACATCATGTGTTGTGTGTTCTGTCCTCTCCCTGACCTCGGAGAAAGCTCTGTGCTAAAATGTCAACTTCGGAGCCTGTTGAAACCTGTATTGGCAGTCCAGCATCTCTCTGGAATTAATATGTAGTGGAGTTTTCATTACTGCTGAGGTGAACAGGTTAGGAAATCAAGCCAATAAAAATGGTGCTGGGGAAAAAAAGTCAGGCATGGTAGCACATTCCTTTAATCCCAACACTCAGGAGGCAGAGGCAGGCGGATCTCTGTGAGTTCGAGGTCAGCCTGGTCTACAGAATGAGTTCCAGGACAACCAGGTCTGTTACACAGAGAAACCCTGTCTCTAGAAAAACAAACAAACAAACAACAACAACAGAAATGGTTGTGGCAGAAGGAATTGTGTAAATGACACACGACAGGTTTATAAAATGGATATATGGACACACAGAGAATCCACAAGCCCCGTGGGTTGTGGCTCAGCTCATCTGCAGGGCCCTCTTGCAGAACGACCCTCTAGGGAGGCTGTGTTACCCACAGCTGAGAGAAGCCCTATCTCGCTATTGTAATTTCTCATTTGATAATGAAAGTGGAGACCTGTGCTCTATTTGAGAGGTCAGCCAAGACACCTGCAAGGCCACATTGTAGGGAGCAGGCCTGCTAATGTCTAGGGTAAGCGGTAGAAATTCATTGCGGTCAGCAGGAAGATAACCAACGGCTATCTTATGAGCCACTTAGAAAAAGCTGTTGGAAGTCAGCCATTATCCTGCAAATTGTGGAGTGTTTTCTTTTTCTTAAAGCCTATTGCATGTCTATGTACTGTGTGTCTAGAGGCTCGTGAGTGTCACGGCACACATTTGGATAACAGAGGACCACTTGCGTGGGTTGGCGCTTTCCTTCTGCCATGTATGGCCTGAGGATCAAACAGGTCATCGGGCTCGGAGACAAGTGCCTTTACCTGCGGAGGCGTCTTTCTCTTTTCCTAGAATTTGTTTTCAACTCCATGTGTGTGCACGTATGTGGGTGGAGTGGCCCCAGAGTCTCTGGAGTTGCAGCCTTACGCTGCTGGGAGCCGCCTGATGTGGTCCTCTGAACATGGGCCCTCTGGGGAGCAGTGTGTGCTCTTAGCTCCTGAGGCATTTCTTCGGCCTCCACAGCTGAAGGTATTTTTTTTTAGATTTATTTATTAATATGTATACAGTAGTCTGTCTGCATGTATGCTGTAGGCCAGAAGGGGGCACCAGATCTCATTCCAGATGGTTGTGAGCCACCATGTGGTTCCTGGGAATTGAACTCAGGACCTCTGGAAGAGCAGTCAGTGCTCTTAACCTCTGAGCTGTCTCTTCAGCCCCCAGCTGAAGGTATCTTGCTGTGGTTGTTTTTGCTTTTGTTGTTCAGATAAAGTGGCCTGAAACTTGTAGCTGAGGATGACTTTGAACTCTTTCTTGTTCCTCCTGCTTCCAGCGCCTGAAGGCTGGAATTAGATGCCTGCACCACTAAGTCTGGAAAACCTGTGTCTTCCACCAAGTCTCCTAAGGAGAGGGCTCATGCGGCTACACATACATACAGATTGGTTAAGCCATGAATGGCACGACATTTATCACAGCAGTAGATCTTAGGTGTTTTCTAATGGTGTGATACTGTTTTGGATTAAAATAAAGGACCCAGCCTTCGGTGGTTTGTTACAATAACAAAACACAGACACACACTCAGAAGGTGCTCAATCTTGACTACATTCATCTCACTTCACTAAATTATAAATCAATTGGTCCTCAATTGAGAAGGGCTGAGTTAATCTTTACTAGAAATTATGGATCTGAACTGAAGTCACTATAGTCGAAAGTCCACAGCCTCCCAAGGTAAAACAGTGTCCAAAGTACAACTCTGCCGTATTTGTCAACAACCAGGTCATCTTCGAGCTCATTCATGACAGAGCTGACAGTCTGGAGGGTCAGCACAGAGCCCATTGTTCTGTTCTTCCTGAAGCTTCCAGAAATAGAAGCATTTACCACAGGGTAAATTTGACCATGTGCCTGCCTTGTCCCTGCCCTGTGTCAGGTGTTACAAACATGGGCTCTTGCTTAGAGGATCTCAGCTGGCAAACACAGTGCAAGGATACCTTCGGAAACAGCAGCTCCAAGCCGGGCGATGGTGGCGCACGCCTTTAATCCCAGCACTCGGGAGGCAGAGGCAGGCGGATCTCTGTGAGTTCGAGACCTGCCTGGTCTACAGAGCTAATTCCAGGACAGGCTCCAAAGCCACAGAGAAACCCTGTCTCGAAAAAACCAAAAAAAAAAAAAAAAAAAAAAAACGAAAAAAACAGCAGCTCCAGGCTTGGCTAAAATGCATTATCACTTAGGAGCACTTGTTCTTGCAGAGAACCTGGGTTTGATTCCTAGCATCCACATGGTGGCTCACAACTGTCTGTAACTAAAGTTCTAGGGGATCTAGTGCCCTCTTCAGGCCTCCCTGGACACCAGGCATGCATGGGGTACCATACATATATGCAGACAAAAACACTCACACACATAAAATAAAATATATACATATTTGTAAGAATAGCTCCAAGGTTCATTTTTTTATTTATCATTTGAAAATCCAGATGTTTCTGCATCTTTGGGCATGACGCAGGTGACTGTGTACAGAGCCTTAGGCTGGAGTTGGCCCAGAAAGAGGTACTGATATAGACCAATGGGAGGTGGGGAGAAGGCTCAGCAGGTAAAGGGGCTTGCCACCAAGCCTGAGGATCTGAGTTCAAACCCAGGACATGTCTACATGAGGGAAGGAAAAAACTGACTCCCACAAGTTGTCCTATGACCTTCACACTTGGTCCATGTTGTGAGCAACACACACACACACGTAACAAAAAAATCAGAAAGAAGACCCTTTGCTACTTGGTTGCCACAGGTACTCCAGGCAGAGTAAGTCTCTGGATTCGGTGATTTGGGAAGGACCCTGAAGTCCTCAGAAACCTGGATCTGGCCACTGGCCCAGTTATTTCCCGGTTTCCTGCCTCTGCTGTTATATAACGTAGGGCTCTTGAAACTCTCACTTCCCCTGCCCCCTTATGCTCTTCAAATTACTGCTGAAGCAGCCAGAGCCAGGGCTGCCGCAGCCTGGAAAGCCCGCCAGGGCAGCTGCCATTGAGTGGGAGGCGACAGGAGCAAGATTCTAATTTGGTCACCTCCCTCCCTCCACACCCCAGAAGTGTGAATGCTGTTCTCTTCATAAGCAGAACGAAGTGTTTCTGGTGATGCCCAGGGGAGGAAGGGTGGTCTAGCACCGTACACAGACTGTTTCAAAACACAGGAAAGATGGCGAGACGGCTCCACGTGGAAGGGCGATTGTCGCCAAGGCTGACAACCTAAGTTCCATCCCTGGAACATACAGGGTTGGGGGACAGAACTGACTCCTGTAAATTGCCTCTAACGTCACGCATGTATTGTACCCACCCCAACCTCCCATAAGTGAATAACTCTATAAAAAATTAAAAGAAACAAAACACAGACAGTGGGCTCAGGGGGTAATTCAGTTGGTACAGAGGCTGCCTAGCAGGCACAAAGCCCTGGGCTTGGCTCCCATTACTGCATAAACCGGGTGTGGGCACAAATATCTCGCAACCCTGGCATTCAGGAGGTGGAAGTGGGAGGACCAAAGGTTCAAAGTCAGCCACAGCTACTTAGAGAGTTCAAGGTCAGCCTGGGCTACAGTGAGGCTCAGTCTAAAACAATAACAACAACAACAACAGGAGGGCTATGGATGTGGCTCCCAGGCAGAGCAGGGCCTAGCATTCATAAGCACACACTCAATGCACACCTAACAAGAGGCACAGGCACCCCCTCTCTGAGTAAACTCAGAACCCCATAGTCTGCTCTTAACTCTGTCACTATTTGGCCGGGCAATTCTCCTTTTCACTTAAACCTTCTATAAAAGTAAGATCATCAAAGAAGGAAAAAGAAGTTAGATAAAACTCTCTAATCAATGCCTTTGAAAAATGACAACTCGCCATCATTGGCAAAGAAATGCTTTGTTGGACCGTATAGAGAGTGAGTCACAGGAACCATGCCACCAGAAGTCCCTGAAGAGAGAGACAGAGACAGAATAACCTGGATGGATTTATGCAAATCACCTGCTATCATCACTTGGTGGCGAAATACCATCCTTGGTAACCGTGACTCAGAAACTCGCTAATGACAGGGGCAGCGGCTGTGACCTCAACCCTGCTCTCGCTGACAGAGACTAACGCAAGCACACTGTAGCTGATAAGTCTCTCTGGAATCTGAACCCCAGCCTACCCTGCTGCCCCGTGTCCCCGGACAATCCCATTTATGGAGGCGAGAGCTCACATTCAGAGGGCAGAGGAAACCTCCTCACAGTGTGCGTCTGAGCTGGGTTCCCATCAGCAGGCTAATAGTTTTTATAGATTTCACCGAATCTAATGATCAATTCATTTTTCCACTTTCATTTGTCAAAGGCATTTTCATCTGCCAATTAGAACATCTAATCAGAGAGAGGTGTTCAGACACCCCAGTAAAGCAGTTAATACGAATGCTTGGATTGATCTTGGAAATTAAATATAAAGACTATTAAAGGGTCCTATCTGATTCTTTCTCTCTCTTTCCCTTTCCTCCTCCTCTTGTGCTGAGGGTTAAACCCAGGGGATTGTGCTTGCTAGGTAAGCACTTAACCACTGAACTATACTCTGAACCCAGATTTTTAAAGGAAACCATTCGAACTCAGTTTTTCTTTTCTTTTTTTTTTTCTTTTTTTTCTTTTTTTCCGAGACAGGGTTTCTCTGTAGCTTTGGTGCCTGTCCTGGAACTAGCTCTTGTAGACCAGGCTGGCCTCGAACTCCCAGAGATCCGCCTGTCTCTGCCTCCCGAGTGCTGGGATTAATCGAACTCAGTTTTTGAGAAAGGATCTTTCTACATAGCCCAGGCTGGTCTCGAACAGCCTCTTTCTGTCTCAGTCTGCCAACTGTTAGCATTAGAGGCCTGTGTCAGTGTGCCAGACTTCACCTTTTAAACTTCTATCTGCACATCATATGTAGCTTTCAGAGTGGTTGGGAAAATCCTAAACTATAAAAAGCTTTACCTATAATGAGCATACAAGGCATGCACTCTGGGAGATAGAGCTCTTAGCACACCTAAGATTTGAAATGAAACAGTGGTAGGTGCTGAGAATGGGGAGAAAGGAGACTATTGGAGAGTATTTGGTAGTTCAGCTACTTTTGAAGAATTGGCACTGTCTGTAACCCGTGACAAGCGGGCGTGACAAATGTTATATTTCTGTGTCACTTTTATGCTGTCTCTTAAGGCTAGATGGCTTAGCAGTGTCAATAAGAGAGGGCAAAAATATATCTACTAACTGTAACACACACAACAGATGCACATACATAGATACACACACATGAGCACACCAATAAACACACAGGCACACTGATACACACACACACACACACACAGAGTCACACAGACACACACACAGTCCATCCACAATTCCTCTTCAGAACCTTGTGTCCACTAAATCATAACATGGTATTTTCCTACTTCCAGTCTTTTACAGTAGAGAGGCTAAAACACCAGAGGCAGACTATTAAACAAACCTAAAAAAATAGATACCTTATTCACATCAGGAAATGCGCCTACTCAATGTGAAAACGAGTAAACAGGGATTACTCTAGACTGTAATGGATTTAGGGAAGCCAGCTTGGATGATCTCATCCAATATGGCCGAACCCCCCCTTCTGGGACAGTTGTGGATCCATCGAGGGTATCAGTGCTGCTAGAAAAGTCCAGATTTTCTGTTTTTTTTTTTTTTTTTTTTTTAATCAGGGCTCCCTATCTTGGGCAGTCTAGAGATGTAGCGTTAGATGATTCTTCGCTTTGGGGGGCTGGCACCCTGGGTGCTGTACTGTGTTCAACAACATCTCTGAATGCCGTTAGCACAGCCCTCTCGTGTGGCAGCCAAAAGTGTTCCCAGACATTATCAATGACCCTTGGAGAACAAGATCAGCCACAACTAATATCTCTTTGGGCTTACATGTGCTGTTCATACTAAGAAGAACATCATGAAGATGTTACATTTGATCTTTATAACATGAAAAAAATCCAGTGTGATGTATTTTTTTTTAAAACCTTTGAACTCATCGTCTTGAGCAACAGTGTGTGCCGCACACAGAAGAATCATCTTCTTAGAAGCGGGAAAACTTGTTTCTCCTCCTGATTCTACCATTAACTAGTCCTGCGATATTGGCTGAATCTTAGTTTAATCTCTCTGACCCTTCCTTGGATTTTTCCTTTGTAAATGAAAATCTCTAACTGAATTTTCAAGTTCAAAATACAAAGACCGTGTGATTCAAAATTTGGTGAGTCTACAGCCGCTAATACCAAGGAACAGAAGAGTGAGCTCTTTGTCCTAAACCAGGCTTTATGTTAAATCTCCTAAAATGACTTAGCTCTGTTTTCTTGAGCACCAAAGACCAGCCCCACAGCCAGATCCTCCTGAAAGTCAGGATATGTCTCTAGAAGAACAAGTAGCCGGCGCCTTGTCAGCTGAGTCCAGAGTGACTATTTAACAACCTCTAGAATACCATAAAGGTCGGAGTGGTTAGCAGGGAGTACACTTTCCTCGTGACAAGAACTGCTATTAGAAATCTAAAAAACCAACAACAACAAAAAAAAAAAAGAAAAAAAAAGAAATCTGAGACTTGGGGCAATGAGGAACTGGGTAGCCAATGGCCTGAGGAGCAACATGCCTAAGTTTTATTGTGAGGGCTGTGAGGTGTCTCTTACACGTGATCTATGAGGAAGACACGGCAGCGGTCAGAAACACAAAGCGAACATTGAAGACTAATACCAATGTATTAGTAGGAGCAGACCTGGAGCCTGACTGAGGAAACAACAGCTACATTTCAACAAGGAAAGACGCCTCCAGGTCCACTCTCCGCTCCTCCTCCTCCTGCAGGGGCCATGATCCCACCTCCCCCGACCCCAGGTCTCCTGGGTCCTCCTTGCCCTGGCAAGAGGCCTGCACCCCACATGGGAGGTTTTCCCTGGATGCCAATGAGTGGCCCTCCTGCTCCCAGAATGAGGCCACCCATGGGAGGCCACGTGCCCGTGATGCCTGGGCCAACAATGAGACCTACTGCTTGCCCGATGATGGTACCCACTCTGCCTGACATGACTCAGCCAGATTAGAGCAGAAAAGCTCATTGTCAGTTTTGGATTTCTTGTTCTGTTTCACCAGGTGATCTCGGTGCTGAGCCTGAGTGTCTTCTAGCTACATGACAAGGAAGGGCTTTCCCCTTCCTAACAAAGAGGAGAGTTCTGGAGGAGAGAAGTGGCATGACAAGGGTAGTTTGCAGCCGGGCAGTGGTGGTGCACACCTTTGATCCCAGCACTCGGGAGGGAGAGGCAGGCGGATCTGCATGAGTCCGAGGCCAGCCTGGTCTACAGAGTGGGTTCTAGGACTGCCAGGGCTACACAGAGAAACCTTGTCTCAAAAAAAAAAAAAAAAAAAAGGAAAGAAAGAAGGAAGGAAAAGAGGGAGGGAGGAAGGGAGGGAGGGAGAGAGGGAGGGAGGAAAGGAGGGAGGGAGGAAGGAAGGAAGGAAGGAGAGAGAAAAGAAGGGATGGGGATGTTGCTAGCTTAACTGGCGGAGCTACTTGCCTAATACACACAGGCTCTGACCTGAGTTCAATTCCCAGCAACGAATAAAATGGGTATAACTGTATACACCTGTAATCCCAGCACTCAAGAGATTGAGGGAAAGAGCATCAGGAGTTCAAGGTTATCTTAAATTACATAGCAAGTTCAAGGCCAGCCTGGGACACCTGAGATCCCATCTCAAAAAGTAAAGTAAATAGCCGGGCGATGGTGGCGCACGCCTTTAATCCCAGCACTCGGGAGGCAGAGGTAGGCGGATCTCTGTGAGTTCGAGACCAGCCTGGTCTATAGAGCTAGTTCCAGGACAGGCTCCAAAGCCACAGAGAAACCCTATCTCGAAAAACCAAAAAAAAAAAAAAAAAAAAAAGTAAAATAAAATAAATAAGCCTGGGGCTAGACATGAAGCGATAGAAACGACCAAAACACAGAAACCCTTAAATCCTACACTGTACTTCCAAAAGACAAATCCTGAGATAAAATCAGAGGATCTTAGGCCCTTTGTCTGGATTCCCTGGTGTCTCAAGCCCTGGCAGAAAGAAAGCAGTCTTATTTGATTACCTTTGTAAACACTGGAGCCGCAATGATAGGCTTTCCATCCAGTCCTTGCAAATAGTTGGTGGGACTCTGACACTGTAAGAAGAGAACCAACAATACGTTCATTGTCCCCAGGGTTGCTGCATGGACAGACTGAGATAACCAATCTACAGACTTCGTTATATAAAATTAATCTCAAATCAAAAGACCAGTGTTTTATAAATTCACAAATCATAGACTTGAGATTGGAGACTGAACCGATTGCATTTCTTCCTAGGTCAGGCTGGCTATAAAATTACACTTCTCCCACCCACATGGTCCAGGTAACTAGCCCTACTCTGAAGAGGGCTCAAGTCCCTGGAGCTACACAAATCATTGTTTAAAAACCAAGGGACTTGGACTCAACGTTAGATAAGTAATTCTCAAAATATATCAAAATGTATTTGTTTAGATTATTATTGACATGCAGCAAATACATTTAGAAAGTATAATTTCATGTTTTAAAGTACATGTATACCTGAGCAGGAAATGCCTGGAAGTCTCTCCTAGCAATTATTACTATTGACAGGAGATTCATCTTAGGATAGGGTGTAGAGATACAAGCTTGACTAAAGTTGATTGTTTTTTTAAGATTTAATTTTTTTAAAATATTTATTTATCTATCTATTTATTTATTATGTATACAATATTCTGTCTCTGTGTATGCCTGCAGGCCAGAAGAGGGCACCAGACCTCATTACAGATGGTTGTGAGCCACCATGTGGTTGCTGGGAATTGAACTCAGGACCTTTGGAAGAGCAGGCAATGCTCTTAACCTCTGAGCCACCTCTCCAGCCCCCTTAAGATTTAATTTTAATTATATGTGTAGGTATGTATCTCTGTTTGTGCATATGTCTGCAGGAGCCCACGGATGCCAGAAGGGGCAGCTGGATCCCTAGGAACCAGAGTTAGGGTTAGTTGTGAGCTGCCCACTGCATCTTAACCACTGAGCCGTCTCTCCAGCTCTGATTAAAGTTTTTTGTTAGTTTGTTTTTGTTTTTTTAATTTATTAAAAAAATACCAATCTAAGTTCCCACTCCCTCTCCTCCTCCCATTCTCTCCACACACCCTCCCATCCCACCCCCATCCACTTCTCAGAGAGGGTAAGGCACATTGCTTTGGGGAAAGTCCAAGGTCCTCCTTACTATGTCTAGACTGAGCAAGGTATCCATCCAAAGAGAATAGGATCCCCAAAAGCCAGTACATGCAGTAGGGATAAATCCTGGTGCCACTGCCAGTGGCCCCTCAGTCTGCCGCAGCCATGTAACTATCAACCACATTTAAGTTTTTACTTAATATGCTTCTATACAGAGTGTTTTATAATAAACACTATCATCAACTGGAAAGATATGAGTCTTTACCCTTTTTTGAAAAAAAGAAAAACTACTTCCTTTTTGTCTTAGGAAATAGAATTATTTCATTTTCCATGAAATGAAGTTAAGATGTACACCCATTGGTTCACATATGATCAGCACTTTTTATAAAATGGGGTTGCCAGATACCAACTTGTGAAACGTCTCTTTTCCTATGTTGTTTTCCCAAGGAGGAGACTAGGTTCCCAAAGCCATCGGAAGCACTGAGCTCATGCAGCCGAAGGACAAAGCGATTACTTAATGATCAATTACAGCAGTGGGCATGACCTTTCCATGCAAGGTGGTCATGGTCACTTGCGCTCAACCTAGATTCGTACCTGCTGGACGGTGGACACCCTGGGCTGGCCTTGGGCTACTGGAGGAATGGCTGCAGAGGTAGTGGGAGGAGATGACAATTCATTTGGCTTCTGGATTCTGAGAAATCATTAAAATATAGATTATAACACAGAACTAGAGCTGCTTGTGAAAGTCAGCAAAGCCAGGAATGCCAGCATTGCTTGCTGTTGGCTAGAGCAAGGCTTTGACAGTATTCTGCAAGTTTTCACCAACGTTTCGTTCTACACATTCTGTTGGGCAACATGCATGAAGACGACATTCTTAACCTTGGATTCTTTGCTTGGGGTATGGCTAGCGATTCAGACATATCTACAGTGACCTGAGATTCACCAGTGATGGACACAGCACAGGCTGGAGATAATTTTCGAAGATCTATTTTGCTGCTAATTTCTCTATTGTACTTCTCATTTCTTTTTTTCTTTTCTTCTTTCTCTTCCTGCCCTCTCCTTTATTTTTTTACTTTCTCTTTTGAGACAGGGTTTCCCTTTGTAGGCTAGGCTGGCCTTGAAGCCACAGTGATCCGCTTGCTTCTGCTTCCCAAATGCTGAGATTAAATGTCTGCCCACTAAATTTCTCTCTCTCTCTCTCTCTCTCTCTCTCTCTCTCTCTCTCTCTCTTTCTGCTGGCCTTGGACTGGCTATGTAGCTGAGGGGGGCTTTGAACGTCTGACCCTTTTGTCTTTACCTTCTGAGGGCTCCGATTATAGGCATGACTCACCATGCCTGTTTTATGGGGTACTGGGGATCAGATTCAGGGCTTTGTGCTTAGGGCAAGCGCTCCATCAACTGAGCTACACCCTAGCTCCTACCCTTTCCATTTTGGGCAAGGAAGAAAACAAGAGGCTCGGCTTTATAAATCGTGGTGTCTTGGATTTTGCCCTGGCATAACGTAGAAATATCCCGAAGTTGACAAGCTCTTCAAATTTATACAATTTAACTTAAGAGTGTTGAACCAGGAAGTACTCTTGAGAGGGAGGATGAAGGAAAATTAATTTTGTGAGGAAGATAGAGGTCTGAGGATGTAGCCAGAGAACCTGGCGAGAGAGATAGCCTAAGGCAGAGGGAAAGGCTGTCCTCTCGATGGAAGACTCTGGTCGTCCCAAAGAGCACTGGGAAACAGTAAGCGTTGGGTTTAAAGGGCCCTCAAGATCTTGACCACAGGCCTTTCACCTATGGCCCGTGGAGACCTGTGGTCACTGACAGGAGGCTACCTTTTCTTTGTTCTGGATGTTGCCTCTCAGTTTCTTCAACTCTACAATGGGTAAACAGCGACTCACAGCCCGTCAGTCTTTTAGGAGGGTTAAAGAGCTAACCTCCATCAGAAGATTAGCATGTCCTTGTTTCTCCACACTCAGTATGGATGCCTGTGGGATCCCTACACAGCCGAGGAAGGTTGTGAGGAAACAGAATGAATTTCCCTCCAGACAGGCAGCATGTGCTCTAAGGAGCGAAATCCCATGGGCTATCGCTGTCTCCACAGCGTGTTTCCCTCTACAACAGGAGCGTCGTGGTTTCTCACACAGCTACTCCACACAAAGAGAATTTCTTAACCTTCGCTGTGGCTAGGTGTGTCCCTAGGATGACTTCCTGGACATGGGCCATGAGCGAGAGTGATGTGTGCGGCTTAAGAGAGATGACTCAAAAGGAGGGTGGGCGTGTCTGTCATGCCTTCCGTTCTTACTAAGGAGATGGGACAGCATGTTAGCATGAGAAGAAGCGGCCACGGATCCGGCCACAGGAGACCTATGATGTCCCATGCTGGTACCCAGTAGATTGAGAAGCCTGTTTGCCAGACAAATCCTGATCTGGATGTAAATGAGAAATGAATACCAATGTTGCTTAAGTCACAGTTAATCTGGTCGCTGTTGTGTACAAGTGAAGCTAAAACCTTTGCGGTAACAAGTAAAGCAAATGAATACATGAGATCTCTTCTACTTATTGAAACTTGTAGATCAACACTCGTACCCATCAGCCTTTGTAACAGAACCCGGGGGCCCCCAAAAGAGGTGCAATGATCACATGGCTGAACAGACGTTTATTAGGGAATCCGGAGAGGGATCATTCGGACTGGGTGTGGACCATAAGTAGGAATTTCGCAACAGGAAATCCCACAAGGTGCATGATTTAAAGGAAAAGCTGAAAGTGAATTGCTGTGCTGTTTGAATGAGGTGCCGGCCACTTGGAGAGCCTGATGTAGAGGGGACAGGGGGCAGCCTGGTTGACATTCTCCTGAAGACAGTGTTGTAGGGAGGACACGTGAAGATTTAAAAAAAAATGTTATTTATTTCATGTTTGATTTTAATTTTCTACAGACAATCTTTTTTAGTTTTTGTTTGTTTGTTTCAGCTTGTTTTTTATTTTGTTTTGTTTGAGACAGGTTTCTCTATGTGCCCTTGGCTGTCCTGAAACTCGCTCTGTAGGCCAGGCTGGCCTTAAACTCACGGAGATCCACCTGCGTCTGCCTCTCGAGTGCTGGGATTAAAGGCATGTACCACCATCACCTGTCCTCAGACAATGTTTTCTAAGCCAGGAGCATGATGAGACCAGAATGATCTGTTTGAGAATAATTGGAAGCACTTCCAAGTCTATAAAAGAGAGGCAGAAGGAAGGGCCTTTAAGGAAGTGATAGCACACAGACCCAAGGAGGAGAAATGGGGCAAAGGTCTTGAGGATGGTGGTAGAGAGGGGTAAAGGGGGAAAGAGAAATAAATCTTTATAATGTTCACACGTCTACAAGAGCAGACAGCGAGTTACTGCAGGGGTAGATGCACAGAACATTTGAGGACTAAGATGTGATTTCTCCCTTTCCAGAGCTTCCCCTCTGTGGGGAAGGTAGGGTAATCCCACAGCTCTGTGAAGCCTTTCTTGCTTGACCAATGAGGTATTCATCCAAGTCCTGCACAGCCTACCCATGGCCATATCCCACAGCATCTCATTACCCTTGCCCATTTCTTGCCATACTTCCTGAACATGTCCCTCCACTAGACCTTAAATCTCAAACAGGCAGCAAGCCTGTGATTTTTCTCCATGCCCACTGGATCTAACACAGTGCCTGGGCTATAGAAAGGGTACATCAAGGTTGTAATAATTACACAGATAAAACTTTACTCAGTACCACTGTTTAGCAAAAGAGCTATGATTTGCCAAGACATTTATATTGTCTGAAACTCATGGCAATCCTCCTGTCTCAGCCTTCCAAGTGTTGCAATTACAGGTGTGTTCCTCCACCATACCTAGCTTTATAAGTACTATTTTTAAATGTATTTTAAAAGTTATTGGGTTATAGTTTTTAATCCTGTAGACAAAAACCATGATAATATTTCATTTTTTTAAGTATCAGGAAGATTCAAATTAATCTGCTGGGCAGGATTTAAGCAAAAACAAATCGAGTCTTCCCCAAATCTGCCCATGTGTATGGACATATATATGGTTTTTCATGATGTTAGGACCGAGCGTGGAACCACCTCCTTCAAGTTCTAGACATTAATTAGGGGTTCTCCTGGGGGCCTGAGGATATTCAGGCTATAGAATTACCGATTCATCTCTTCTTTGTTAGGGTCCCCTTCTGAGTCAGAGGAAGAAACTCCTAGAGAAATGAAAACAAAAGATGGCATTTTAAAGATGATAATCTAGTACACAAATTCCTAGGCATTTGAAGCTCTGAAAAGGAATCTTAGGCTCAGGAAGGAACCCAGTGGCTCCTCGCGCAAACATCTAATCTGTCATAGGAGGAAGTAAACCCTAAGAATCGAAAGGAGTCGATTAAGGACATGCGCCCAGTGAGTGGTACAATTCAAACACACAGGGCCACGTTCTAAATTCCAGGGTGTAAAACACCTGCCAAGAACTTTGGACTAACAGGACAGTTTTTGCAGGCATTCCCCGGTGCTCACAAACCCGCACAGAGTGGGTGAAAGGGGGGATTATTCTGGATTCCAAACACTGCAAGTGTAGGTGGGTGCTCTTCCGTCCTGCCCTAATATTAACAAGTCATCCTCCATCTTGGGAGTGGGAGTGTTCGATGCCCAGATGCCAGAATGGAAAAGCAAGCCAATAGCGATCCAATCTCAGTTCTCCTACCAGGTCCTAGATTTATTTCTCCGGATCGGAAATTCCAGGCATATACAATAGAGTTAAACCTGGAGGTGTTTATTGTACTCCAAAGACTTGAGGTTAAAAACATGGGACACATTTCTATGAAGGTATTTCTTCACTAAATGTCTGCCGAATGTTCACTATGTGCTTGGTTCTGTGGAAATGATCAGAGATAGGGAGGAATGAGACCATTTGGACCTTGCAGTCTTCTTGGCAAATGAGTGTTTGTTTAGTCCATGATCACTCGATATGTAAGCGCTGGAGGCAAGGCTTACCTAAGCCATTGTATAGGCAAGAAAAAGTACTAGAGAAAGATCCTCCACCTAAAACTCAGAGGACGAAGCAAATAGGAGCGAAAGCTTAACAGATAGCCGAGAACTATGAATTGATTTCTCCTCAGAAATTATTCATGCTTTCATGCTTGGTACTGTTGCAAACGCCACCCCAAATGATTCAAGTGATCGCCAGACTTCTATCCCTGACTCTCCAGAGTGTATATCCTTAACCAGCAGTGAGGGTAAGTCAGACCACGCTGTGTCTCTGCTTAGAACCTTGCAGAGTTTTCTTTGTTACTCTGACTGATGAAGACTTAGAATCGGCTCACCTTCCTCCCTCTACCTCCCCCTCATCTTGAACTTCAGGCTTCATTTCCTATTGCTTTGTCCTTGCTTGCTCTACTCTGGCCACACAAGCTCAACGCTTCCCATTTTATTGTAAGCTGTTTTTGTTTATTATTCTTACTATTATGTGTGTGTGTGTGTCTGTAGGCAGGCATGGAGGTCAAGCGACAATTTGGGAATTGGTTCTGTCCTTCCACCACCACGGATACCAGCGATCAAACTCAGGTTCCAGGCTTTTATATTTAGTATGAACATCTCGCTGGCCCAACACACTGGCTCATCTCTACCTTTGGACTGGGGATCTCTCACCTCTGGGCTGCTGCATTTGCTGATTTCTCTGCCTGAAGTGGAGTTCCCTTGACTTTCCTATGACCACCACTCCCTCCAGGCCTCCCTTCAAATGCCACCTGGTTAGTGACATTAGGTGATCCAATCAAAACTTACAACACACACACACACTATTTCCTATTTCTTTTGTGATGCTGTTTCTTACCATCATTTATCTCATTCATCTGCAGTTTCTCCCATTATAATGCAAATCAACATATCATCCATCTAAAGACCTTTGTCTACTTGATTCGTGTCTATTATCCCCAGTGTCTAGATGGACAGAATAGACCCTCATCAGATGCGTATCTAACTACACATACTTATACTTTGATAGCGCATGTCAGGCCTCAGAAGCGTGTAGCCATACCTTCTATGTAAATCTCAGCAGAAGTTGAGTCTGTGCCGTAGATGTTGGAAGCAAAGCATGAGTATCGTCCTGTGTCCTCCTCAAAGGCTTCGGCGATGGTCAGCGAGTGCAGGTTTCCGGCCTGCACGATGTGGATGTCTGGGCAATTTTCGAGCTCCTTGCCTTCACAATACCACCTGCAAGGAGGAGAACATGGCCATCCGACACAAGCAGAAGAGGAAAGTCGCCAGGCATGGTGGAATTTACCTGTAATCCCAATCCTGGTGTGTGTGTGTGGGGGGGGACACAGGTAGCAGAATCACAAGTTCAAGGCCATCCTAGGCTACTCAGCAGCTGGCAGACCCTGCCTCAAAACAAGGACAAATGCCACACACCAAACCAAACAAACAAAACTAAATAACATCAAAGACTCAATAGCAAAGATGGATCCAGATATTTTCTGAGCGGGAAACAGACAAGCTTTGAGTCAAGAATATTAAACAATCCTTTGTCTTGGTATTATTTGGTTGCAACAGTGAGAAGTTACACACTGATAATTTACTGCATAAATCAAAAAGGGACTCCTATTGGAAATTACGCTGGTGAGCTAGCTCAGAGGTTGAGTTCCTACTGCCTTGGCAGAGTAGCTGAGTTTAGTTCCAAGTGTTCAGGTCAGGGAGCTCACAGCCCCTGGGGATCCCGAACTCCAGGGGATCTGATGCTTTCTATCCTCCACAGGCACTGCACTCCTGCACACAACCACACATACACATTGGTATGGTTTTTTTTTTTTTTTTTTTTTTTTTGGTTTTGGTTTTCTGAGACAGGGTTTTTCTGCAGTTTTGAAGCCTGTCCTGGAATTCACTCAGTAGACCAGGCTGGACTCGAACTCACAAAGATCCGCCTATCCCTGCCTCCCAAGTGCTGGGATTAAAGACGTGCACCACCACCACCTGGCATATACACATCTTTTTTTTTTTTAAAAAAAAAGAATTATACAACTGAGAGATGTTGACAAACCAGACGCTATCAATCACAAAGCTAGGACCATGATGCAGATGTTAATTTATTCCCACATTTTTGTAGCATACACCAGAGGTTACCTCATCTTCTCTAGAGAGCACCAAAAAGGTACTAAGTGTTTGCGATGTCAGATGCATTGTTGCTGTGTCTGACATTACAAGAAAATTAACTCCTTTTATCAATACTTCTCCCAGGGCTGGCCTAGCCATAGCCAATAGCCCAAGCTAAATGTTTCTATGAATGATGCAAGGTTTGTTTGTTTGTTTGTTTGAGACAGTTTCTCTGTATAGCCCTGGCTGTCCTGGAACTCACTAAGACCAGGCTGGGCTCAAACTCAGAGATCTATCCGCCTCTGCCTCCTGAGTGCTGGGTTAAAAGTATGGGCCACACGCTTGACTGACCTCTTATTTTAATTCTATATACTTAAAGTTAGAACCTTTCTTTGCTGGGGGGGAGGGGTTCAAGACAGGGTTTCTTTACCTTTGGTGTCTGTCCTGGAATTAGCTTTTGTAGACCAGGCTGGCCTCGAACCCACAGAGATCTACCTGTCTCTGTCTCCCGAGTGCTGGGATTAAGGGTGTGTGCCACCACCGTCTAGTTCAAGTTAGAACCTTTTACTACATATAGCATATGGGTTTTTTTTGTTGGGGGGGGGCAAAAAATTATACAAAATAAGATATGGACTATTTAGGGGGTAGAGAGATGGTCCAGTGATTAAGAGTGCATGTTGCTCTTACAATGAATGGACTGTGGGTTCGATCCCAGCATCCATATCAAGTGGCTCATAACTGTATGTAAATACCCCAGCCCCAGGGGACCCAACGCCCTCTTCTGGCCTCCACAAGCACCTGCATTCACATGCACAGACACATACACATAATTTTAAAAAACATGTATCTTTTTTTTTTTTCGAGACAGGGTTTCTCTGTAGCTTTGAAGCCTGTCCTGGAAACCAGGTTGGCCTTGAACTCACAGATATCCTCCTGCCTCTGCCTCCCCGAGTGCTGGGATGAAAGGCATGTGCCACCACCGCCAGGCTTAAAAAAAAATGTATCTTTTAAAAAAAGAAAAAATACTTAAAATTCATGACAAGAAAAATGAACATTGAAATTAAACAGAAACAGAATTTCTCACTTAACAGTTTTAGGAAACTCTATCGATCCCTCTCATATATATTAGTGACAATGAAAGACAGTATCATTCTTACCAAAGGACTCCGGAAGTGATGCTAAAATTACAGATACATTTTATTCTTGGAACCATCTTATTGGAATCAATGTACAGAGAGACTTGATGTCATACAAAATGATAAACACACAGGCTACTTGTTGAGATTAGCAAGCGATCGGAAACAAGCTAACTGTCCGTCATCAGGTCGTTGTCCTCCAAGATGCAGCCACACAACACTACGCAGCAGCTCCAAAATGAGGATGAGAAGAAGCACCGGGTGTCAGTGTAGACGGGATTCTAAGACATGTTTAACCCCCAAGTAGCTTAACCCCTCCCTCCCACCACTTGACAAAGCAGGATTCAGAGGCTCACTCTAGAAATCACATCTGTTTACCTACTTTTCACAGCCAAACTGTCCTCCGCTCCTGCATAAACTCGTCACGGTCACCCCGTATCCAAACCTCCATCCAGGTTCTTACCCTCTTCCTCTGTTTTTTCTGCACCTATAAATATAACTCACCCATCGCCATTCGGCTCAGATATCACCTCCCACACGCGGCTACACTTATCCCAATGGTCAGCCTGTTTCTAACTGCACCTTTAAGAAACGAGCTATCTTATGTCACAGTTTTGGTGATATAAGATCTTCTCTGGGTCTCTGTTTTGAAATTCTGTTTGTCTCGCTAATTTCACTGGATTGTAAACTCGTAGAATTCTGCCTCCACAAGGAGAGCTCTGCCTCTGCAGAGGTCAGTGCAGCTCTGTCTGCTCTCTCTCTCTCTCTCTCTCTCTCTCTCTCTTTCTCTCTCTCATCTTACCCCTCAGCATCAGGCATTGGCACTGAGCCCTTCTCTACCATGGATTCTTTTTGTTTATTTTTTAACTGATAAGGAGCTCTTATTATATTAGTAAACATTATTACATGGGGGAGCATTTCTGCCACAGCATGTGTGTGGCAGCCAGAGGACAACTTGCGGGAGTCAGTTCTCTCTGACACTAGGTAGGTTCCAGGGGATTAAGATCAGGTCGTGAACTGGGATTGGTACATGAAACAAACAAATAAACTCAGGATGTCAGGTTTGGTGGCAGGTGCCTTTACCAGCTGAGTCATCTTCCTGTAAGCCCCAGAGATAAGATCTTACTAGGTACCCCAGGTTGGCCTAAAACTTGTTCTGTAGCCCAGGCTGACTTTAGGCTTTTGGTCCTACCTCAGCCTCCCGAGTGCTGGGATTACAGATATGTACTCCCACAACCGGTTCCACTGTGGGACTTTTGTGATCCCTAATATTTGCCCCAGATCTTCACAAAAATAAGTCTCGCTAAGTAAGAGGACTGCACCAATGTCACCTTCTGGGAGAGGCTTCCCAGACCCTTTCCCAGTGTGGCCTCTTTACTCACTGCATCCTGCTAACCCAGGCATTCGTCACTTTGTGTAGCTGTGACCAGAATATGTTAGATAACAGCATAAAGGAGGAAGGGTTTATCTTGGCTCACAGTTTCAGGAGGCTTAGTCCTTGGTTACTTGAACCCATGCACTTGGGCTGAACATTCTGGCAGCAGGAACATGAGTCAGAAGAGGCCTTTCACTTCATGGCAGACAGGAAGCAGAGAGAGCAAGGCCAGGAGTTAGCATCAGGTGTCACCTTCTAACCCCTCACCCCCCAAAACAACCTACTCCCTCCAACTGGACCTACTTCTGAAAGTTTCTAACTTTCAGCATGGGGAGCTGGATGACTGTTCAATACATAAGACCATGGGGGACTTTTATATCCAAACCATAGTACCTTCATTTGTCATCCTCCCAGCATTCCCTACCATTTGAGATTTTATAAACACTGCCACTGTTTGTCCTCCCTCCACACATTAAAGTCCACAAACGGACTTCATCGGTCCGATTTACCACCATGATCCCATCACTCCAGCAGCGCCCTGGTGCATGGTAGGTACTCGGAAAATTAATTAATTAATTGTTGGAAATTAAATTAAGTGTTGATAGACTTCTTGAGCCACCAGATGATGGGAAACCTTCCTAGTTAATGGTTTGTATTTGTTGGTCTCGGCAGATTCCCTGCCTGTCTCTAAGCAGCAGCCCAGACAGGTTCCTGAAGCTCCCAGAACTAACCCTGACTATAGGGAGTGGCTGTGAACGAACCTGAAAGAGGTAGAAATACTGGGCTTTCAATTAAATACTGCACATTGAGCACATTTGTCGTGTATCACCCATAAAATGAAACAAAAAGGATTTTTTTTTCCAGTTCGGGAGTGTTGGAACAGAGTCTCTTGTAGCCAAGGCCGGTTTCAAAACTTGATGCGTGGACAAGGATGACCTTGAGTTCCCCATCCTCCTGAATGCTGAGGTCACAGGATAAAAGAGTTTTTAAAGGCACAAAGCTACACACACAAAAAAATATATAAAAGAATGAGAAGGAACAGGGGAGCAGACAGCAGCCTTCCGGTGCCGTGGAGGATAGACAGCACCTACAGGAGCAGGCCAGTCCAGAGTTGCAAACCAAGCACTTCCTTGGGAATGTCTGTGAAAGACATGTCGATACAGCCAAACCCCAGAAACCTGGGCCCTGCAGACAGGAGATTGCTGACAACAGGGGAGAGGAGGTGGGGTGTAAAACGGGGAAAGGTCACACACGTGGAAAACGAGTCTCCTCCCCAGGTCACTGCCCCTCAGCTGAGCAGCCAGCCCTCGCGGCAGGGTGATCAAGCAGCTGACCCAGAAGGGAGTGAGAGACAGCAGGGGCTTCAGGAGGGATTTCTCTAGGGGAAATGAAGGGAAGGGCTTAGCCGAATAGACCAGGCTGTCATGAAATTTCCCAGACTGAATCGAGACAAATTTATTTCACATTCAAGAAGGAAGGGACAAAATCACCACCACTGAGAGCTGGGTCAACAGTGAATTAGGAGAAAATGAAGAGTCGACTTGTGAAGGACAAGAAGGTGGAACCGAGGATGCCGGGAACGCAGGGGTGGGAACCATATTTGCTTTGGGATG